GATTTGGTATAGATAATGAAGCAGCTCTAATTATCTCTCTATCTTCACTTCTTATCAATATTGTTATTTCTTGTGGTATTAAATTAAGTTTATGCATTGCAAGTATTAATTCTATCATTTGCTTTCATATTTGTATTATTGCACTTTATATTTCAATAAGCTTTGCCATTATAAAATAATAGAAAAGAAGATATTTAATATTACTTAAGAAAAATAGAAGAAAAGACTTGAGAACAAAAAAAATTATAAAAACAATATTATCTTAAAAGTGCATAATCTACAACTTCTAATATGCTTATATCTTATAAAGAAAAAGAAGAAATATATTCTCAATCAAGAAAATGCAATGCTTTGATGTTCTTAGCATATTCCTATTAATTTATCAATGATAAGAACTTAAAAAATATAAATATATAAGTGACTTATTTTTAAAGAAAGATGAAAAATAATATATATATATATATATATATTAAAAAGATACTAAAATAGCTATTGACAAAAGAAGAAAAAATAGAAATTCTTGAATCAAGACTAAAAGTAAGAAAAGAATTGACAAAAATGAAAAAGTATTCATTCTTGCTTCTATATATACCATCTAATTAAGAGCTATATAGTGAGGTTCTACAAGACCTTCAACACATGTCTAACTTGTAAGATAAGCTTCCTATGTATGTACCACATGTCCAACTTATATCACAAGTGGCCAATATGTACATTACATGGCCAATATGTTGGCCAAGTTTTCAACCTACTAGTCATCTATAGACATGTATAAAAGCAAAGTCACATATATGAAGCTTCTAAAAATCTTTTTTATAAGATATAATAAAATTTATCTAATTTTATTTGATTCTACTTATTTATATTATTTAGGTATTTATTAAAATAAGTATAAATATTCATAATACAAAATAATTTTATAATAAATTAAAAATAAATAAAATAATGATTTAACTTTTTCTTTAAATCACAATTAAGTAAAGTTTTTATTTTAGAAATATATATACATATTAGAAATATTATGTAAATAAAAAATGACTATTTATTTTTTATAGCTAGTATAAATCTTTTAATTCTAACAAATAAGAATTGTAATGATTTATTAATATTGAGATAAATTTAAAATTAACCTTTTGTAATTTTTAATTAATATTTCAATTATATAATTCAAACTAGGGAAGGCCAAGTACCATTGGAATTAAAAGATATTTAATGATGTTGAAAATAATTCCAAATATTTAATCTCTTAACAACATTTTTAACAACTTAGTATTTTTTTTATAGCATCTTTAGATAATCTAGACTAGCATTGGTATAAATTTCACACTTGTGATTGATATAAACTTGATACTTATGATTGGTATAAATTTTAATTTTAGTATAATATATCAATAATCTAGACTAGCATTGGTTGGATCTTCCTTAAAAGTATTAATTTTTATTGTAATGCCAAAAAAATCATCTATAAAATATATTAAGGCTCTAATGTGTAAGAGCACTTAAATTAGAATTCTCATTTTTGAGTTTTAATAATTTAAAAAAAATTAAAAAATAATGTAGGATATGATAGTAGCTTGAAACTTATATTTAATGGTTGTTGTTTAGAATTGTCGAATTAGAAGATCCCTAATATAATTGTTTGCTTTCTTTTTTCTTTTTTCTTTTTTACTTTCTAATTTTTAAATTTATAATTTGTATTGCAAATCTATTCAATTAGATGTGATAGTCTTATATTTTATGACATAATTTTTTATAATATAAAAACATATTTTCACAACAAAAAATATTAATTTTTTAATATTAATTTTTTAAATTGGATTTTATTATTAATTTTTATATTTTCTTTTTTTAATGAATATGTTTCTAAGAATCTAAAAACTATTGCCATTACTTGATTTTTCTTTCTTTGAACAAATCTTTTTTTAAAGTCCTTCAAAGAATTGATTGTTGTCTATGATTTCTTAAGTAATATATTGTTCCAATGAATCTACTTTTTGCATTGCCAATACCAGATTTTTAACATTTTCTTTTAAATCATACCAAAATTGATTGATGAAAAATTTACTATTCAAATCTATATCATAAGCAAGTTGTTAGAATTTTGTAATATAGATATCAGTTAAATATGACCCTTATTGTAAAGATTGGAGTTTCTTTTTTGCTATTCTTTTTCAATAATTCTTTTTAGATATAATCATAAATTATTCTAAAAATGATTTCAAATAATTTAAAACTTTTAAAAGTTTCTTTCTATCAAATATATAAATTATAAAAATAAAGATAAAAATAAAAATCTTATATAAAAGTGTGACTATAAATCATATTTGAATGATACCATCACAATAATAAGAAGGATGTAATTATAAAAAGAACTTGGTTTATTGTAGAAATCCTCAAAATTTTAATTTTGCTCTATGAAATATTTCTAGTATATTAGACTTGAGCTCCTTTTTATTTATGGTGGTAAGACCTTTATAATCCACATGTAGAGTAAATCTTCTTATACTTATTTCTCTCAATTCTACAACTTCTTGATATAAATAATATAACTTCATTATTGATTTCTTCCATATGTGTAGAAATATTATTTTTATATGATATTTTAGCTTGATATAGATTAAAGAGCTTGTAAATATCTATAATAGTTGCAAATCTATTGTCACTTCCTCTAAGTGATTCATTTGTGGTTTTTCTTATTTCTTTCTAAATTAATATAAGCTTAAAATAGATAACATAAATAAGCATATGATTCAAATTTAAAGAAGATATTTTGTAATTTTTAACACCAAATAATTTTTTTGTATAGAATAATAATCTATTTTTTTTAGTAAAATAATAAATTTTATAAAAAATAAATAAATAAATGTAGTTAATTTGTAACCTTTAAACTACAACAATATTTTCTAAGAAGCAAAGTAATATACTCAATGCTTAAATAAAACATCTATAATAAATTGTAACAAATTGTCAAAGATATGAATCAAGACAAATATTTAACATACTCTTGTATTATTATAGAGTAAAGAGAGATAAATAAGAAAAAAAATTAGATAGAAAGAATTTTGAATGACTATTATCAAATATAAAGAATCTATTTTTTTAATTATATCATAATAAAATAAAATAAAATAAAATAAAAAAAGTTGACAAGACTAAAGATGGTATCAATCTTGCCTCCATAAATATATTAGCTACTAAGAAGGCCTTATAAAAGCTTCTAAGAATTTGCAAGGTATGTAGCCAAAGCATCAAGGTATAGGTTGCTTCTAATGCAACTTTCTAAAAGTATATAACTTGTAGAACAAGTTTCAATGGCCACATGAGATATCTAAAAAAGTCTAAATATTTGATCCAAATTAAGAAAAAATTCTTAAAATTTTCTAAAGAAAATATTATCTAATTAACATATTCTACCTACTTCTACTTACTTCTTTTTACTTTAATTTATTTGAATAATATATAAAAATATTACAAAAAATTAAAGATAAAATAAAACTTTAATTATACATATTTTTATTAATTATATTAATGATGTCTATTTTATTTAATAAATAATTAAAGATATTTACATCACTTATATAAATTATATTGATAAATGATATGAATTTAAAATTTATATAATTATAATTTAAATAAATTTCTTTCAAAAACCTAATGGTCTTTTTTTAATAAGGATTATTTTGAAAGATCTCACTTGCTATTAATGAAGCATTTGCTCGTTATATATAAAAGTATTATAAATTAATTAAAAATTTAGATCTTAATTTAAAAAAAAAAACTAGCACCAAGTCTTTTGAACTTATATGATTAATTATTTCAACTGAATAAATTATATGATTTTTTTATATACAAGTATTGTATTTGGAACTGAATCAGGTTAAATATTATTTTAATTTATAGTTTATTATGTATGATCAGTATATTGTATCAGAGTTCAAAGTTTTAATTGTGTAAAAAAATTAATTAAATTAAATTAATAATTTAATTCTTTTAAAAAAAGGCTGTTGATTAAAAATATTATAGTAAAATTTCCCAATTGAAAGGTGGATTAATAAATATAATACACGTTGAATATATTTTTTAGTTTATACAAATTTTCAATTTAATTTATTAGTGTTCCATGCAATTTGACATGTAATTTGAAAATACTTTAAATATTATTATAATTATTATTACTACTACTGTTTGTCTTTAAAATATTCTAATTGTTACAAGAAGCTAAACAAAGTTTGTCGCTCTGCAAAGGTTCACTATCTGTGCTTGAGATGGCACGTGTCGATTCACGTCAAAGGTCTCATTTCTTCAACTGTTACCAAGTACTCTTCATGTCATCTTGTTACTGTGGGCCGTGGGTCTCTAGACAAGGGACTTTCAAGTGCAGCCAAAGGAGGGTTTGACACTTTCTCCTTCAGAGAGAAGAATTTTTCTTGCACTCTGGGGAGTGCAGGAACCTTCTCACTGCGCAGCTTTACTGTCAAATTATTCGTATCAGAATGGGTCATTTCACGACTGTAATACACAAAATTTACTCACTCAAAACCGCCTTTTCATGTAGAAATGTATATCAGAAACAGCGGTGTTAGGAAGACATTGAGCTTCATCACAGAAACACGAGTTCAATGACAGATATAATAATCACCAAGGCTTCAGAGATTCATGTTAACTTGTCAGAGAAGGAAGTCTGGTTCCATTTCAGCGACAATTCAAAGACGGAGACAAAGAAGTGGAATAAGAAGAAGATGATGATGAAGATGTGACATTAAGAATCAGAGCCCACAAACCGGCAGAGGGAAATGGGGGCTAAAAACCAAATAAAATAAATTAAAAATCAACCAGTGCAGAGACGCAAATGGAACAAGCCTGAAAGTCCCCCCGCTAAGAGATCAAGGACAATGAATGAAGGCAGTGGGTGCATGTCAGAGCAGCTGATTCTTGTCATGCTTCCACCTCCCCCTCGCATTCAATGCCACCGGACGCAATTCCTCAATACGACTCATACTTAAGCCCTCCTGCAGCCTCCCTTGCACCTCATCGCCATCATCTCTCCCACTTCTTTCACTAAACCTGCAGTCATTAGACCCATACAGTTGCACACAGCCAGGACTTGTCACTGGCATTTGGAGTAAGTTAGGCACTAGCTAGTCGAGGTACTAACTGGAGAGTCCTGCCTGCGACATCTACTGCAACTGATACCGGACAATCCTGCTCGTTGCAATTGCCTCCCAGTCCCCACCCCACCCTCTCTACCAGGAGTTTGCTGTCGCTTTGTTGAGCACTAGTATCAGATACCAACACTCTCCAATTCGTGTTTCTGTCGTCAGATCGTAGCTGCGTTGTCGATCCGGTGAGGTTATTGAAGAAAGAGAGCTGTGTAGGTTGTATTGTTGGATATCAGGTAAGAGGCATGGCAAAGGTAGTGCTGTCTGTGTTGCTCTTTGTGGTGGTGCTGGCTATGGCTTCGGCAGCTTATGCCGACAACCAGCCCGCCGGTAGAGAGTACCAAGTGAAGTGGGACTTCCCCACGGGGGATAAGTACTACAGTGCCGTGCAGGGGAAGACGTACTACGTCGGTGACTCTCTGAGTAAGTCTCACATTTTTGAGTTGGTGTTTTTTCCTCCTTCTCCCCCTTGATTTCGGATACTGATCAACAGTAAAACTTTACGCTTTGGCAATGTGTAGCATGAGCTTTTTTTTCGGTGTTTCTGTTTGTTGAAACTTACTGGGTTGGTGGATGATGAATGGGGGTGGTGACTTGCAGAGTTTACGTATATGCAGGAGATGCACAATGTGGTGAAGGTGGGGAGCTTCGAGGACTTCAACCAGTGCACCATGACCAAGCCCCTTAGTCCTGAGTTCGCTGACGGTGCCACTTCCATGCCGCTTGACAAGCCTGGGGTCCACTATTTCATCTGCTCTATTCCTGGTCACTGCTCCGACGGCATGAAGATCAAGGTCCTCGCCATTAACCGTCCCCGCAAGCTTATGTAACCGGGGACATTGTTGAAATGGGTCGTTCCATTACCACAGCGATGAGTGGCTGGAAGGGCCACAAGTCATGATATGCTGTTAAAGCGTGGTCGAGTATAAATACGAATGGAAGACAAGCCTCTGGCCTTGTAGTTAGAAGGTTGGTTTGTACCGTTTACTGCAATGAACGCAGTTACAGAGTACTATTAGAAGTAAGAAAATACATGTTGATAGTCTTGGAATGGGAATTAGTATGATGCGCTGTGTTCCTAGTAGAAATGGCAAGTTAATGGCCGTGTCTTGGGGAGGAATTAGTCGTCGTCATCCAGGATCCATAACGTGAATTAACTGTACCGCGGTGAGAGGATCTTCGTGATGAAGTAATTACATCCTTTAATTCCTTCTCCATTTTTATCTACTTTCGCCACCGTTGTTCTTGAATTTTGAATGCTATATGTGCTACAGTTCCTGTTAAGCAGGCTGATTTGGTTTGGGACACTTGGACCAGTATGAATAGTGTGAGGAATATCGTCTGCGCAGTGTCGCTGTAGTTCTTCAGTGTCATGATGGTATGCCAATAATATCTCATCTGCCCAGATATTGATTGCATTTACATTGCAACACCGTTACCCAGCAATGAATTTTCTGTTCAATCAACCTTACTGCCTCGCAATTATCTCGTTTGCTCTGCTCACATATTTGATTTAAGTAATTCCTAAAATGAGTATTTGACTCGGCTTCCTACCATCAAATCTGCCAGTCAATTTTTACCATTGTGCGAAGCTGTATCACAGATTTGTGGTAGCAACTTCTCACCTCACTTACTCCAAACGCAACGTTCACGTCATACACTGAGATAGCCACCTGAAAAGGGTATAATATAATACTGAAATTGTCTTCTAATTCTTCTTCATTATCCGCAAGCCCACTAGTATACATGGGAAATTAGATTTTATGCTGCATGACTGTAGCATGAAAATAACAGACTTCTTTTCAGAGATTCAATCAAACCTTCGAACGGCAACCTCTAACACTCACTTCATGCCTCAAGACATAAACAACCTGGCGATACGTTGATTTTCAAGGCCTGTAATAACATCCCAAGCCTGTTAATCCGCTTATATCAAAAAACTCCAATAAAGAGAGATGACTGTTGGGTTCGATTGGCATGAGATGAGCGAACTTTAGCTATGGTCGATCAAATTATCACATAGAAACAGAACAGAGAGTAAAAACGTAATAGTTGGCACTGAGCATTACAAAAGTCGAAACAGACCAGGAATGAATGCCGGAAAGGCTCACTTATGCCTCAATGCTGTTTGAATTATACAAGAACCAGACACATGAGCCACTTGTTAGCTCTTGTTTACAGAGGAGAGGCTCAGAAACCACATCCGGAGGAAGACTGCCTCCAGACTCCTATTCGCACTCCCAAGTTCCAAAACGTGTCTTAATTTTCCCAGAGTATGGGATGGCAATTACACAACAAGCTGATTGTGAACCAGAACTAAACTGCACTACAAAACACGAGAAAGAGATGCAATGGTTGGTGTTAAGGGACATCCTACGATACATTCTACAGAATACCCTTTGACACGGGCTTCTTCTTTAAAAAATCATTGGATTCTGGGGACAAGTACTCCCACCATAAGCCTGCACATTCTTGACCTTTCGCTGGATCACCACAAATTGAAATAATCTCGTCATTTTCTCCGCGGTGGCGCTTGCCCTTCCAAGGCTTATATTTTCCGTTGAAGTGGAGAATATTGGCTTCATCAGCAAACGGGGACATAAAAGGAATTCTCTCAAATGTATAATTCCACCCCTTCTTGTAGTATATTCTCTCCATGTCACTCAGATTGGGTCGACCGAGACCTCGTACGTTCCATGTCTCATCCAGCACTTTGTGCTTTCCGTAAAGTGCAAGTAAGAAGGGTGGTTGTGACATTCCTGCCCTGCAAAGATGATGATATCAAAGCACCATGAGACGTCGCAAAAAATGAAAATTGGACTCGAAAATGGGAGGTTAAGAGCCATAAAAAAAAAAATGGTACGAGAGCGTACTTGTACAATGCCTTCTTGTCAGCCTTTCGAAACTCATCCATCCACCAAACAATAGCCTTGGTGATGTTCTGATCAATCCATTCTTTAGTATCAATGACAAGAACTCCACGGTTAAACACACAAGCTGATTTGTTGAAGGGTTCGTCTGGTAACCAACTTGGTCGATCTGGTCCCTGTCGCTTCTGAATCTCATCCAACTGAGCAAAATCGAAGTAAACCTGGAACCTCTGTGAACAGTCTTCAATAGCCGCCACTGAATGACCTTCAAGATCTACATCATTCAGCACTTCCAAATTTCCCTGTAAAACAATCAAAGGCGTACTGCTGATGAGCTGAATGAATCTCTGACCAATGGCAAGACAAAAACTGCATATCACAGTTGCTCTGAGAAGTTTGAAAATTCTGCACAGGTGGAAACAGTGCATCACAAAATAATAGAGAAAATCTCGGTAAAAGAAATATATATGAAATTCAAATGAGACAATTGAGAGAAACTACTATCCCACTTCAACAATTGACACCAAACCAAAGGAAAGCCAGAATAAAAAAGATCAAACTCAAATTACTGAAATAGCGTCCTCAAGAAATAATCACCTTCACTACAATATCAGAGTCCAGGTAGATGATGCGCCTTATTTCGCTATACGTTTTAGGCAGGTAGAATGGCAGAAAATTGTAGGGACTCACGAGCTCCTTGCGAGCCCCGGTATCATTCCGGAACGTTATATGCTCTTCCACCTCGCGGATGTCGATATATTTTCTGTTCAGGACAAAAAGGAAGAACTCACAAGTTAAATCAGAAACGTATAGCAAAGAGGATTATAAAAATGACACGAAAAGTAAAGTGATTGAAATTGTACAGCATAGGCTGCAGAATTGAAGTAAACTACAGATACACGAAGCAGCATTTATGTATTCTCTTGTTAAACGTAATATCCCAGCACTACAATCCCATTCGATTAACAGAAAAATGAAAACAATCCAACACCATAATTGATCGGGAAAAAACAAATTATGAGAAAAACTTACTCAGCCATCTCAATTCTAGCCTTCGGAAGTAGGTGTTTTAGCCTTTTCGCCGCGTTCCTCTGATTATGCGGCATGACTAAATGGTAAAAAAGCCGTTCTGGATGTCTGCAGCCATAGAGATCATGATTAGAAAGGTAAACATTAAAATCAGTGCAAAGTTTCAAGACGTGTTAAGGATCGATTGGATGATACACGCCTCGTTATGTAACGTGGACTAACAATCTATCCAGCAATTTTACGGAAGATATTGCTGACACCTCAAAGGAGAGATAGTTAACAACCAAAGCATAATTGCATCGTAATGACAGGAGGAAAGTGGACTACTTCAAGGAGAACGTGCTTGACGTTAGTCTATGAAAGTCATTTACGATCACTCGGTTTCTTTCACAGTGTTCAAGTCCAGATTTGGGCATGTAGAGATATAATAAAATAAGAAACAAAAAATAAATCACCGCTACGCTATTTTTTTTCAAAGCATAACATAATGGGGGTGAAAAGACAATCAGACTAAAGACGTGACTGAGTAAAACATGATTCTCAACAATAAGACGACAGAACAATCTGTAGAACAGAGCGAATAAAAGAGGAACCAAGGAGGGGCTACTTTTTAATCAGTACTGACCTTGCGGATTAACTTAGGATGTGTCAAAAAAGGGCAAAGAATCAACACTCTTTTAGACTTTGATACACGAAGGGGACTGTAGGTGCAACAAGGAGCAAAAGAAAATCATTAAAATCATGGAATATCAATGGGTTAATACTAAAAGAACCAGTTCCAGGAATGGAATGATCTAATAATTCACGAAGACAAGAAGGTTCCATGTAAAACGAAGGACTTACGGGCAATTTGCCATGCTGGAGTTGATCAATACTGCGAGAGGTCGAAGATCAGCTTCATCGGTGCAGACGAAAACATGTATATCTTCCAATGTCGAAGCCTCGACGGTCTCGTCCCCCTTGTTTGAAGAGTCGATGTTCTCATCCTCGGACTCTGTGCTTCGAATCGGATCTAGAACAGTCTGAAATCCCTCTTCAAACGCTTTACGATTGTCCTGGAGCTGATTGTGTTTCCATGAGTGGAAAGAAGCCATCACATTGGGAAAAGCCCACTGCTACAAGAACGAGAAGATGTTCGGAAGTCAATAGGATGTGAACTCAGGACGAGATAATTTGAGCTACAAATAGAATCCAACACTTTCACATAATCTTCATGAATCGTAAAATTTCTGAACAGAAGAATCTTCTCAAAACAGGAACAGAAACTAGATAATAAAAACCGCTAATAAGACATACTAATTAAATCAAGTTAAGTGGTGGATAGAGGCAAATATGACACTTATCATGATAAGCAATGTCTTTTAGAAAAAGGAAACTTCCAAAAAGGAGATAGAATTACAACCAAACGAATTGCTGAGAGCAAGTCACAACACTGATGAATCTTGTAAGATTTGACTACTTGCAGCATTGACACCAAAGACTGCGTCAAATACGGCGAGTGACTCTCAAATCGTTGACCTGTGGACAAAGGAATAGCTATTACCTAACCAGCGAGGATTTTCCGTTTCAAAAGATACAACATACGGCCTGATAGTGAGAACGTAACCTTGAAACTAAACCATGACTTGTCAGCTCAAACATCCACATGAGCCACTCATTATAATTGAGCTTCAATGACGATGTCTCGTCAGGGCCTTGACCTCGTCCACCGCCTTCACTCAACTACCTCAAGAAGATCTACTTGGCACAAACCACCGCCAACAGACTACGTTCACCTTCCGAATCCGCAATTACGTCATTTCCAAAGTAACCTAGGATCACAATGACAAGGATTCTAACCTAAAACGATGCCCTGTGCACCTCATTGTCGAACATCAACGCACGTAAGAATCTAACGTAAACACCTCCCAGATTCTGGCTACCAGTAGATACAGCAACCTAAACTTAAAAAGTCAAGCGTGCCTGCGCATGGGCACCCAATTCAGTCTTGCACATCCATGTCACAAACAATTTCTCTACTTTCAAGAACGGGTTGGGTGATAATCTTCACTGCAAGTGAGCTAAATATGCTTCAGAGCTGCAGCAGATTGCACGAACATTTCTTAACCTAGTACCCCACCGACTTTGAATGGTAGCAGCAGAAAGCGAGTACAGAAGGAAATCACAGGGAAAGCATTGCCAGCAGCTCTAACTCCGAATTTCTCGCACACTAACTTTCATTCACAGAAGCTAGTTACTTATGAAACATAATATGCAAAACAGCGACTGCCCCAAAGAAGTGAACGAAAATGTCGTATGACCTACAATTCAACTATTACGCTCCCAAATGCGTTTCGAAGATTCACTGTCACTTGGTAAATATATTTACACTCGATGCATTTTAAATTAATTTTGCCCTAACGTGCTTCGACTTCGTATCGCGCACAAGTTCAGGCATATGAAATTGGATATGAGTCTGCCCCAAGGATAACATGTGAGCAGGTAGGAATAGAGCTAGGGTTGACAATTGAGTATCTACCTTGTCCTGGGGATCCCAGCTTTTAAAAGGGTCCGCCCAGTTGGTGTATTTGGTAGGAGGCAGGAGCCGCATGCCCATGACGCCCATAACCAAAACACATGCGAACAAAGAGAGAAGCGGCCATGCCCGGGGAGAAACAGGAGCTCTTTCACGACCTGCACTCACAGAGTTCGTGGAGTCTCTTTGGAACCTAGGCAGCGGCCGTCTGATGGTCTCCGTTTCCTTCATTTCCCCCCTCTCAGTCTTATCCTCATGCAATTGCTTCTTGGCTTCGGATCGCAGACTCATGAGGCTCCGCTCAACGAGGCACAGTTGTGCACAAGGCGGAGGCAGCCTCAATTAGTTGATGCGACAGTGGCATTACAGCCCTCTCGAGCTCCAGATCTGGTCTCCCTCCATGGGTTGCTAGATCTCTGGCCTGTTATTAAACTCCATCCCGAGTTAGAAATGAAGGATTCCTGACGTCTGTGTGCTGATAACCCTCTCCTCCACCGTTCGCCAGAGGGATCTCAACGACAATAATCAACCAGGAATGGTCTTGTGCAGACCCAGTACTAGTCTCTCATTCTGTGATCCCCCGAACTGTCTTATACTCCCTTCTCCCACAATGTACCCCCAAAAACCAGATCCCATAAAACTAACTGCTGCCAAGAATCTACACCCCCCACTCCCAAGCTGAACCCCCCTCTCGCTCGCCTCTAAAACACCATCGTTTCAAGCGAGATCTGCACACCTCAATCCAAATCACACCTCACTCCAACTGAGCTTGCCATACCTCAAAAACTCCCACAGATCTCCCCCCCTTAGTCCTACTCTTGCAGTTCATCTCACTTTCCAAAAAATCTACACTACACCCATAAACCTACATCCCCACTTGTAACCCACGTAGAAGAAACCCACCAAACATTCCACAAAACGTCAAAAAACACAGAGGGTAAAATATAACAACAGCGACCAGAAACCAACCTGGAATCGTATACTCTTCTTCTTCCTCCTCCTCCTCCTTCTCTTCCTATTCCTCCTCTTGAAACACGCACAGAAATAGAACAGACCACAGGGAAACCAGAACTCGAGCGCAAAATGGCCCAGATCCTAGAGCACAGAAGCAATGCGAGAGATGGATAAAGTGCAAGCGAGAACGAGAACCGCATCTAACAGCACCTGAAGCCTCCACAAACACCTGAGGGATCCTCCACACACACGCAGCCGTTTACAACAGTAAAACAACCGCAAGTCGCAGACAATGCTCGGAAAAAGCTCACAATCAACTATGGGAACAGTATGCCAGCGCAAGACGGCCCCTCCCTCCCCCCCTTCCCTCAGGCAGCGAGACGATCCCCCCCCCCCTCCACAGGCATGGGGCACAGGACGAAGTCCGCCGGGCGCCCTATAACCGCGCCTCCGCTTGAATCGATCCGACGACCTTGACGAACAGCTCGGTCATTCGTCACCTCCATCCGTTCTTTCGACGGAAAACCTTTGGTCGGTGTAAGTGACTCGTGAGGTTTCGTTCGTCCAGTGGGGGTCTGGATCCCGACCCCTCCTAAATCCGAGGTGGCACTTGCGGCGAAGGGGAGCCCGCGCGCGGCCGTCGACGGAAATCATTGAGCTGTAGCGGTCTCGTGACCAGCAATCATTCTGAAGCGTGTTGGCTTTTGTTTGAGCTCAAGGGCTGCTGCGTTGCAAAGGCTTGGCTCAAAGCCGCTTGCGCGCGGTCCAATTCGCTTTCCTCCTGCTCGAGCGAGTGAGCGAGCGAGCTCGCATCTGATTCCTTGGTGCTCCATGCCGCTGCGCATCATCTCGTATTGGCGTCTTGTGAGATCGACTCGTGTGAGTTTGTGTGTGCGCGCCTTCTTTTGTGGCTCTTTCGAGGCAGTTTGTGAGCAGCGACATAAAATTGATGCGCCTTCCTCAGATCCTGTGTGTGTGGCACCTTTCGGCTAGTAGCTAGCTACACTGAATGATTTTCAAGGATAGTGACCACTCCCTGTCACCGTCAGTTAGAATGTGGGCGTCGCTGCACGCCTTTTTCAATACATGCTCACGCATCGCATGCACCTCCTTAGCTCCGCATTCAATGAGGCTGTGATTGACAAGCCTTGGGGGAGCTAGCCTAGCTGTTTGATGGCACTTAGAATTGCTACCGAGCGGGAGTTGATCGTATTTGGAATTTGCGTCGTGCTCGAGGCTCTTTTGTATGAAGCACCAGCTGCTCATATGTGTTTTGCTTTTGTGTATTTGTTTTCTTTTTCGATGTCCTCGACTCCAGAAGGCCGCTCACTAGTAACTTTTTTTCACTTCAACGTCTCCTTTAATCGCCTTCATCGCCAGAGACCTGTCTTAAGAGCGTGAAAGACTTGGACATTGAATGCGGTGACTTGTGTTTACTGACTTTATCACAAAACTATTGTTGAACAGTGCCTAGTTGACAATGTTAATCAAAGGTCTACCTTACATTAAAATTATATAAATATATAAGTGTAAGGCTTCTTGGATCACTTTTGCTTGGTGTTGGAAGTAGTGCAAACAGTCATCGAAATCCAATAATAAGATTTCATCATGTGTATACAGCTATATATATATATATATATTGGTTGGTAGAGATAGCCTTCGTACATCACTATCCAAAACTTTGTGAGAAACTAAATTCAAAATCACGTGCTATTTTAGTGATCGGAAAAAATATCAGTCAAGAAATGAGCAAGAGAATGTCAATTGGTTAGATTCACATTTAGTAAGTCCAATGGTGACGTGAAGGTCTTCGCAAGCCCATCCACTGTGCAACTTCAAACATTTGGGGTCATCAATTTTGGCTGTGACCATGAAATCATTCTGTTTGGATTTGCAATTAAAAGTCAATATCTCTCTTATAAGATGTCTATTTTTATTTTTATTTTTTTTTGTGTTTCAAATTATATGTTTCAATATTATTTTTTAGAATTAAAAATATTGTATAAAATATGGTGACACACATATGTTTTGTTAGTCTTTACACACAAACTATTATGGACTTCGACTTTCGGATTTTGTTGGGTTTTATTTTTTTTGAAATATAATTGGTAAGAGATTCTATTTACATCTGAGGTCTTGTGATGACTATATTTTACTTCGAGACCCAAGTACACTGAGTTGTTTCACCACTTCACCATTTCTGATAATCCTGGGGTTCTATTTGGCTTAACATGATAAATGCCAAGTAATAAACTACTTTTCATGTGGTTTTTTTTCACATAATCTGACAAATATTTTTTATTTAACACTAACATGTATATATATACATATTCATATTTTTTTGGAATTATTTAAATATACTTTCAAAGTCTTAATTTTTAAAAATGAATAGATATTACTTCATCTTTTGTAATTATTATATAGATATGCAAATGCTAATGAAATTTGCACTAGCTACATTCTAATCAAACATAAAAATAACATATTTTTCTAAAAAGAATGGCACTTCTAGAGGCATTGTTTATATATATATGTGTGTGTGTGTGTGTGTGTGTGTGTGTGTAAGTTTTGGTTATTCTAAAAGGAAAGAAAATAATGGTATAAATATATATATAGAGAGAGACCAAAGTGCCACATGTTGTAATTGTTGATTTACATTTCAATTTATGAAATTAAAGTATTGTTAACTTCTTCAAAACTAAGATATATGACATTTAACAAAAAATCAGTATTTAAAATATAATAATCTATGATAAAAACTTTTATTAGAATTAAGAAGGTCTAAAATAAATAAATAAAACACATATCTTTTTGAATGTGTTGGAATATATAATCATGGATTTCTTAAAGGGGAAAGAAGAAATCTAAAATAACAAGTTAAAATTTAAAAATTTGACTTCAACCTGTATTCATAAAAGCATTAAATTCTAGATATGGAAAAATTCTGGAAAGTCTATTACATTTTTAAGCATCTTACATATTTGTTTCACTCAAAGCTAACACATTTTTCAAAATAAAAGAACCCCTTGCCATTAATAAAAAATCATAAAAAAGAGTTGAATCAACAGTGATAAAGAATGAAGTTAAGACTAACTGATAGTTTAAATCATCTAATTTTGCCAAGTGTAATAAGTTAAACAAAATGAACACTTTTCAGTTTTCATACTTAAATTGAGATTTAAACTGATTATACATGAAGCCCCTCCCCTCTCCCCCCCTACACCCTTCTTCTATTTAAAAATAAAACAAAAATAGAATCTAAATTTAAGTGTATATATATATATATATATATATACTTCCAAGTATTTGTGCAAGTTGTTTCCTATCTTGACTTTCCATGCCATGCACAACAATTTGTTGAAACCTTAACAACCACTCAAGAATTTCTCAGAAAGCCCTGCACTACTTTACAACTTAAAACAATAAAAAAAAAAAAAAAAAAAAAAAAAAAATCTGAATCATCAAATTCCAGATATATTTCCACAAAATGATTCAAGAATGAATGCTCACACAAAACCTGGTTGATGCTTGTGATTCCCAAGCCCAATTATAAAATAGCCAATAAGAAATTCCATCTGAGCAAATAGGTGCCACAAACCCATCAGGTTGTTTTCATGCAATAGGAACCTATTTTGCACTTGGTGGGTTGTTTCAAACTATCCAGTCATTTTTTAGTGTACATGAACAGTTAGAAGTCAATATTTATCTACAGTGTGAAATCGTTTGCCTAAAGTTGTACGAGCATATTCTGATATCCTCTCATAGCATTTAAAATACAGTAAAAACATAATGATACAATTTTGATACCAATGACTGTCCATGGACATTCTATGCACTCTGTGTAGAAGTTATCACAATGTTATCACAATGTTATCACAATGTTGGGTTATGGAATGTAGTGTATAACTGCATGATCCTTAGAAATGGTTGTAACAATTACACCAGAAGATTCATATTATAATAGAAGGAATAGGAAGGAAAAAAGGAATCTCATGATCAGAACGTGCACAGAAGTGGTAATAAACTGCAAGTTTATCATGCAGAACATAAAAGAGAAAGACAAAAGGCTACTTTGGTATTTTGAATCGATCGTAAAAATGTGCTCATGCCAAACTTTTTAAAAAATAAAAAGAAAATAAAAGAAATGAAAACCTTCCACGATTAGGACTTACTTGAATATTCTATGTGGCCACATCTTGCGGTTTTTTTTTCAACTGCTCCTGCCTTTTTGAAGACATAACTGTCAGGTGTACAGACAATAATATAGATCTTCTTTACAGCAAAAGTGACAAAACTATTGATGCCACTACAACAGAGAAAAAACACTTCAAGTTCTCACAGATGTTCTGAAAGATGTCGAAGAAAAAGGTACCTGCAATTATCAGATCAACTCAATAAGAAAGCGAAATATGGGTACTTCCTGGAAGCACTTCGAATGGACTGAAGGTGATAATTACAAAAAATTGGTGTACAATAAAATTTTAGTGAACAACGCAACTCCATGATTGCATTGATTAGTTGGGGACACGCATGGAAAGTTAGTCGCGAAGCGCTTTAATCTCTGTTCAACTTTGTCCAACATGAAACTCCATCCAACAGGAAATTTTCATAGATGTGCTCTAGGAGGGTAGAAAGATAAAACCTGGCCCTATCATTACCGCTAGGCAAGGCTCTTGATAAATCCAACTCGAGAATGATGTGACTTGAAGAATCCTGCTCGGCCTTAAAGTTGGTAAACTGGATGCACCACTGCTCAAGTCTTTGTAACAGCCGAATGTAAACTTCGTGTATGGGACAAGTTCACTTTGAGAACATCACTCTTGGTTGTCAACGTCAAATAACGCAATGCAGTAGAGTTCTCACTATAGAGATCCAACGTGTCTTAGTTTTGACTCTTGACATGACAATCTCTTCGAACCTCTATTCTAATACAGTAGTTTTAGACATCAAGCCAATTGCAAGAAATTGATGAATATCAGAAAATACAGGGCAAAAACTTGCCTACATTGTACGTCAGGACAAATCAGAAATAACGATAAACCCGCGAAGGATCTACTTCTCTTGGCATTCAACATCTAAGTTCCTCGGAAATCAGACTCATGATCACTAATGACCTGTAACGAGAAGGATAAAGAAAAGAAAGAAAAAAAATCACAGTATCAATTTGCAAGTTAATGACGATGACCCTGCCAGACACAGGGTGTATTTTTGTTATTTTCATCAGAATCAAGGATTTTTAGGTATCCCCAGAAAAGATTACAATCCAGCAAGAGATGCACAGATAATCTCCAGGGGTGAATGTATACAAATTAAAGAGTTGGAGTCTTGCAGTCGATATGTGAAGAGATCGAGTGTGCATATTGATATGCTGGCATTCCAGGGTAACTGGAAATTCTGAGACTGAAGAGCGAGCTGATCCAATCAGAATCCAATAGATTCCCATCCATAGCGCTCCAGAGCTTGACGCAGAGCCTGTTGTTCCTCACGTTTACATGTCAGTATTCACAACACAAATACCTTAGTCAATTCAAGATTGCAAACGGACTGTTAATCAAGACAGCAAACAGGAAACGCCGAGGCTAGTTCATATGTTTGATGCTTTCTAACATACGATATCATAGAGAAGAAAGCTATTAATGGGGATTACACAAAGAAACGTAACGGTCGACGAGATATCAACGGCCTCCAAATATTAAGGATTATGATGCTGACTCCTTGCATGTCCACTGCTTTAATGCGATCCATGTATATGTGTATTAAGCCTACCTTAATTCGCTTGCGGTTGAAGCCAAAGTCTATGGCATCTCTCCGAGATGCAGATCGATACTCTACCAACGACCGATTGCCAGGAGGAAACCAAAATTCGACATCGTCCACAAACTGCAGAATACCATAATACTGTCAACTCATGTCCCTTCTGAAAGCCAATAACTGAAAACGAATTAAAACTTAAAACGTAGAATCAACCTTGTGGACCTATCAGCTGGTTGATGTCATTCTACTGGCAACAACTAGTAGAGTGCACACGCAGAAACAAATTTACATTAACATGAAGGGTAAATCCTCGTCGACTAGAAGGAAACTAATGCACTTACGCCAACAAGAGGGCTTGAGTACTCGACATAAACGTAATCATCAGTCTGCTTAACGATTCGAGGCGTGAAGTTGTCCGGCTTTGTTGACTTGATCTGTGAACGTTAGAATGAGAACATTGAAATTACGAATCTGACGAAGTTTACAAGCCTTTTGCATCAATTGATGCAGATCGCATGCAAAATAACTTCACATCGGAATTATTTCTACATCATAACTACCTCCTTGGTACAGAAAAGCACAAAAAAAACAAGTGAAACTAAGGCTCACAGCATCAATGAGCTCCGCCATAGCTTTTTCTTTAGAAGCAGGGTTCTTCCGACCACGGCCATCTGGAGGATTGTACGTCCTTAAGACATACAATAAAGGCAAATTTAACGAAACTCTTAAAGCAAGTGGCACCCCAACAGCTACGCAGATTGGAGAACAAATATCATAACTCATTGATATCATGAGATGGACATTTGACATGCGCAAATCTACAGAGTACATTGAATATGACTCGACATCAACTGCGGACCAAATTGATAATACTGAGGGTACTAGTGGAAGGCAAGCAGGGCGGATAACATTTGCCAGCCTTAAAGAACGAAAAGGTTGGATGGATGGCGGAGACGATACCATGGAGGAACATAATGGGTGGGGTCGTTCAGCTCCTCTGAGGTGGAGATACAACCAGGAGTTGGTGGGCACAGTGCAAGAGACGGTGGGTTCGACTGTACACCTAGGTAGTCTGGTCTTTCGCCGCTGCATATACATCATGCATAGTAAGTGCCAAGCAGGAACAGAATGACTGAAAATGACTGGGAGATTTGCAAGCTTGTACACAGAAAAGAGAGGTAGAAGACAAGAAGGGTTTGAAGCCAAGTACGCGAAGTTGAAGAAGGCCAACATCAGCGCGGAACCACTAGATCTCAAAATTGTTTCTCTGCAAACAAGCATATTCTGTTAACCAGGGATTCAGCACGCTATAATTTCGAAGAGTTCAGGTCCTTGTAAATCATTTCATAAAGCCAGCTACATTTCAACCGGGATGGACTTGGTAAGTACTTCGCTTAACTTGTAAATGCCACAGCAGTCACAATTCGACCAGAGAGATAAGATGAAATACGACGTACGAGACCATACCTTCGTGATATCTTTGCAGCCACAGCCTCTTTCCGTATTTGCCCTGATACCTGTTCATCTTCTTTTTGTTGACATACGATAATACCAGGAGAAGCATTGGAAACCTCAGAAATAGAAACCTTATCCTGAAGTGCGGATGGTATGTGGAGTCTGCGTAAGAAGTCAGACAGATATAATCAAGATCATAGCACATAATCTAGAAATCACACATCGACAGCATTGCTGGTAATGCCATGGCAGTCACATCCTCACGATAGTTCAAAAACAAATTCAACTTTTACATAGAAAGGTCAATTGATACATCAACAGAGCAATGGATTAATCGACATACAATTGATATGGAATAGGGTTTGCACAGAAGCCCTTCTGACAAGCACTTACTTGGAACCAGTGAAGGACGAAGCAAGAACCAAGATGGGAGGCATGTTTCTTCTCCGTATTAGTCCCCAATCTTCAGCCAAATTGCATCGCCAATCCATGTTAGCACATAAACAAGTAGACAACCATCGTGCGTTCTACCCTCAATCAAGAATCAAATCAACGCATAAAAGAACCTGTGGCACATTCATAATTCACAGACTCAAAGGGGCAGAGTACAAAGACACAACAACAAAGACTAGAAAACCTTTGAAAGTAACCAGAACTTGGAAAAGACTACAAAACCATCACTTACTGCAATTGAATTGAAGTCCAATGCTCTTGAAATTTCAGTTGGATGACTCCTCTCCGTCGCCAACAAGCAATGCTGTGAGAAAAATCAACTTCGATTCCACGCCGAGCTGCCAATGCTCTCAACACGAGGATTCAGGGATTGGAAGCATGACCCTCCAAGTGTCGCTGAGATGAACCGAAAAGTGCTGGTAAAAACCACCGAAGCATGCTGCCCGAGCGGGATGAACACCGATGGAGCAAATGGGGTGAAGCCAAATGGGAGAAGCTAAGCATCTTCAACCTATCCACCCACTGTTCACTCGGGTCCGCCACGTCGGCTGCCGCTTGACGCGATAAGGACGTAATGAACGTCGTTGACGTCGTGGGGCTGGGATCGTCTTCGTCTTCCTCGCTCGTTCGGAGCATCTTGAGAGCACAACGTCCAGTCCTACACTTTTGTAGGAATGCGAGTTGGGTTCAATCTGGATCGCAGCCATCCTCTACATGAAGAGGATTCTGGGTATGATTGGGTCTCTGAATCCTTGGCGGTTCGTAGCGGTTGTCACTGGTACGTTCACTGACTGTAGCTCTGCTCGTCTTCAGATTTGCCTATCATTCATGCCTGCACTTTCGCGATCGAGCTTTGGTTTGATCGAGTGGTAACGCTCTCTAATACGCTGTGAATCTTAGAACCAACGAGGTGAAGAGCAGCTACTGAAAGCCTGCCCTCTGTTGGTTTGTTTTCTCGTTCCGTTTTAGTAGGATATTTTCCTCATATTTGTAGGCTTCGGCCGCGACACGCAAGCTTCACAGCAACTATTCTTGCGCTTTACTTCATCGTGTAGTGAACGGGCCAAAGTTTTGGGTTGCAGGGTTCTTGTGGAGAGGAGGCTTTAGATATATACGGGAGCACAAATGGAAGGAGGCAGCTACCGCTGTGAAGGATTTCGATGAGAGGATGCGCAGTGTATTATACATTTGACGAGGATATTACGTTGGATTTTTAATTCCAGATGGTGGCAGTGGTAGAGGCAATAGATGGATACAGTAACAAAAGTGCAGGCGGTGGTGGTATCGTGGAATTCGAATATTTGGCGCTTGCTTGAATCGAAATCGTGGAATTGTAAACTGTCGAAACGGATGGTCAGCACGAACGCTATATCTCTTGATTCATTCAGCTGCTATATGCTTCTTCTTTCTGAAGAGAAGCTGGATCCTTGATCGTCCAGGTTCAAACACCTTTGTTCTTGGAAGGATTTAAACCTTTCTCTCGCATGACACAATTTTCTTTTTCTTTTTTCTTCTGGCATCTGGTTTTCAAACATTAGCGTAAGGTGCTTCTATATTTATGATGCGCTTTTTCTCTTCACATCCGCGTCAGAAAATGCTGCAGTGATGATTGTGAGTGATTCACCTTAGAGGGTTTAAGGAGGGTTTTGTGATCTTTTAAGGAATGTGATTTAGAGGTTGTAGTTGGTCAGAAACCCAGTCGTTTTAACTCACCAGCACTTTGCATCTTCTTATGATGAGTTGTGTAGGCAAGGAATTTCACATTATAGATTTTGGCGTCTGTAAGACGAAACTATCTGTCTATTACCCTTTCAAAATTGATACATCTCTTGCTTCTTTCATTCTCTATTTCAATATATTAATCCATAATTGTAAGAATAATCGAATGCAATGAGATTAGGAGCAGCTTTCATTTTGCGCTTCAGCGTTCAAAAGCAGAGTAATCACGTTTGACTAGGTCTTCTATTATTTGTTTTCATATATTTCCCTCCCACTTCAATTGTGGTGCTCGGCAAGAAATACCACCTTTCATAAAGCCTTTCACCTCACCCTTAAAGTTGAGCTTAGATGTACACTGTTCTAGAGATTCCTCACGAAATTTTCACTTGAAAGTACGGTTGGAATCAAGATTGACATCTGAGCTGAAAGTTTACCGTGTGTGGAATCCAGGATGTCATCGAAACTGTCATAGCAAACTGGAAGGTTTGGATTCCGTTTCAGCTCGTCAACTTTGGATTTGTTCCTCCACAGCTTCAGGTACTGACCCTTGATACAAGCATACCAGTGTTTGACTTGTGAGTTCATTTACGAGTTGATTATGCAACCAATTTTATAGGGTTGAAAATATATGTAACAAACATGATCCTGTTGTGTAAATGGGACAACAGGTTGCTGCAGCTGGAGTTCTGGGGATGGTGTGGAGCGTCTTTATTTCTTACAAGGGGCACACGTAGAGGTTGTAAAACTGAGGTAGAATATGCAAAATGTTGCAACATTAGCATGAAAAGTTCTCCAGACAGTGGTAACCATCGCACCCCTGCCTGTTGCTTGTCCTTACCCTACCTTGCTGTCGGTGCGAAGCAGCGACAGCTGAGTTCATCATAGGGACAACAAAGAGAGGCAAGCATGTTTGCATCACGTGAAAAATTCATCTTTAGTTTCTGGGTTTCTGCTGTTACTGTCAACGAATCTGCAACTGGGTGTTTGCAAGTGATTGCTTGGCCTGATTATGAGCTTCAGCCTGATTGTTGAATGATCAACTGAGAACTTCCATAGCCAGTCCAAGGCATGCAAAAGATGGATCCTGTAACACTTGTGTAACATGGAGACCAAAGTTGAATGATGTATGATTTGCAACCAATGCATGATTAAAATTACAGTAATAGGTACCTTGACCTGAGCACAATATTACAAATAGAGAATAAAAAATTGAAAATGTTGATAGTGTCATTTAAATATGACTTGAACATGAAACAATCAACCATTTTGTGTCTAAATCCATAAGAGTAGAAACAGTATTTGTGGTAGAAGTAGCAGCATTACTACTTTTTAATAACACCATGGAACTAGTTACAGTATATTTTCGTAGGAATGTTTTTTTTAATCCAAATCATCTGGAAGGTTGTCAATGGTTTATTTTTAGTTCTGCAATCTTTGTCCACATACAAAAAGAATCTTACACAAGTACCAATATTCAAACAGTTTTAAAGTATGAAAAAAATAACAAAAAAACAAAGGACGACAGAACAGTCCAAAATCAACACAAGGATTCTAATAATAATTGTTCAAAAATTTGTGCTATCAAAAGAGAAAGGAATCTTTCTATAATTTTTTTAAAAAAAACAAGTTGCTGGTTGACACGTATTCTTATTTAAAATATACTTGATGTTTGGGTGCAGAGAATTAAATTATATATATATATATATATGTATATATACACACATACATACGTTTGTAATTCAACCAAGTAAAACTTTGACAATCCTTGCATCAATTTTCTCATTATAGAAATGAATACATCTAATCTTAACTAAAAGGTTCTTGATTTCTTTTTAAAAAATACATTACACATAAATGATATATATGTATATAGTAGTAGAAACTTGTGTAGTTGGGCACAATTTGTGTACGTCTTTATATTATGCCTAAGTTGTTTTATATAATAAAGAGAAATGTTAAATAGACCCAAATTTTTACTAAATCAATTTACCCATGATGATAAAGTACATAGTAATCATGATGAATGTGGTTGGTTTTCATTGGTTTAGGATCCAATAGTGGAGAAATTAATCTAGAGGTCATTTTTTTTCTTTTCATGATGGTTAGGATGGTGGGTAAATTTAGTAATTTTTTTGGTCTATTTAACATTCCTTCTATATATATATATATATATATATATAATAGTGGATACCTGTGAAATTGGGTGCAATTTTTGGCATTGCCATTCCCTAATACATTCATGATCAATATAAACCAATGAGAAGACTTCTGTATGTTATGCCTAAGCTATTGTACATAATCAATAGTGGAAATTCTAAAAGCCAGTATCCAAGTTTCAGCCCAATTCAGAATCAACCCTGATACGCTTCAAGTTTCCTCCACAACGCAAAATGGCCCGAATCCCACAAATCATGCAATTGCAGGTGTGAAAGGGGTCATAATATAGCACTATTCACGCAAAACTGACGGAACGTCCTCCGCCGCAGCAAGCTTGCCCAGTCTGTCCTTGTCGGAAGGGGCCGGACTTTCGGAGACTTACGTCGCATAATTGCCCCGACTTTCGTTCTCCTCGTCCCCTTCTCCCCAATCCATGAGAAGAGTGCTCCCCATACTTGACCAGACCCCTCGTCGTCGCCACTCAATTTTCCCTCTACAAGTACCCGCCCTTGAATATTTTAGCGGTTATTTCTGTGTAGTTTGTAACATTCCAATACGTTGTTTGTATTTTGCTTGTGCACGGCAATTCTATGACGGTGAATCGGAGACATCAGACTGCCCTTGCCAGAAGCTTAGTGGTGGGAAGAAGAAGCCTGTTTAGGTTTCGCGGTTGAGAGCAGCTGGAAGCATTCAATGGAGTCAGTTTTTGGAGTGTGGTTTGGTGACAGAACTGGAGAGGGGTTGGAATTGAACTCCTGAATGGAATTGCTGCTTTGTTTCGAATGGCTGGGGTTACTGAGCGTGGACATGGATGACTGCATCATTTTCGGTTGTATGATGGTACAATTGTTTGAAGTTAAGTGTTGAGAGAGACGATGGCTCGGTCGAAAGTTAAAATTACGCCGCTTGGAAGGAGAGCACAGAACAATCGACAGCGATTAGAGGGTTCGGTGAGGATCGCAGGTGGAGAGCAAGTTGGAAGGGACCATGACGAGGAGAATTGCCCCCCAAACCTTGACTACAATGTTATAGAGGAAATCGCCAACGGTGTGGAGAAGATGATATTGTCCTGGTCTCATCTCGATGAAGACGAGCAGGACCATAAAAAAAGTACTGTGAAGAACGAGAACTTGACTCCAAAGAATGATGATGTAAGTTGCAAGTGCAACCAACTCAAGACAAATTCCTTGAAAACAAAGTTTCCCTACAGCGTTTTGTTGCTGCAAAACTATGGTTGCATACACCGTGGACACATAGTTTCGGTTCATGGAATAAGTATCCAACGGTAAGATGCCTGTGTAGGCCAACTGAATTGTGTTGACGCATAATTTTTACCAATGAATCTGGTTGGGTAGGTTTCCCGTGACGATAGCCGATCTCGAAAGATGGAAAATCCTGAGGCAGTTTGCGAGGACTCGAAATATAGTTGTGACTATTATTCGTGCAAACAGATTCAAGAACTTCCGGAAGAGGGAGCAGTGAAGGTAGAAATTCCTGGCGGCATCACAAATGAGATATCTTTGAGTGGTATCTGCTCAGGAGGTAGAATGGGGAATGCAATCAACAAGATTAGAAACGAGGCCGAGAAGCACAGGTGCTGAAATTACTTATGCGAACGGAATTCGCAACTAGTTTCGTCATTTGTCGTTTTAGGTTAGACTCTCCATGTCGCAGGCTTGTCTGATTTAGGAAAATAAGATACTCGTTGCTATGAATATTTCCACAATGGTTGATACTAATGTTCACAATATTTGTGCGGTATGGCAGCGGTACGATGATGACTAGCGATACACGACCAGAGAAGTCTCTGACAAAAACTGCCACACATTGTTGCTTGGAAGCAAGCACTGCCCCATTGGATACGTGCAGTTTGAGTGTTTGTACCAACGAATCAACAGGAATCAAAAGTACAAGCGCGGGCATTACTGATGTCGAGGACTCGTCGCCTCAGGGTCTCCATCAAAAGCGGGCCCGTGAGCCTAACAAACTACCATGCACAGACAATTCCACTTCGGGGCACTCTTCGAACACTCAATCGTCCCCCCGAACACCTCCCATCAGTGAGAGGTTCGCGAAGCGTGTGCAAAGTCGAGAGGACATCTCCGAAAAGAAGCTACAGCTTTCCATAAGCAAGAAAACAAGATGGTCTGAGAAAGTTAGTTCTATTGAATCCTCAGTCCACAGAAGATAGGTCCCGAATTATGACTAGAGTCCACTGTGCACAAATGAAGGATATGCTCTGAGGTATTCAACAAGTATGGTCATCCCTCTTGCAGGATACAACAGCGCCGATTATTGGAGCAAGCTGCTCTGAGGACGAAGTTTGCACCAAGAGTCCACGGAGTGACTGCTCTCTGTCAGACCTCCTGTCGAATTCAAACTGGAACGATCCTCTAGTTGGCAGCCCATGTCGAAAATCTTCCCCTGTATTGATTGATAGGATCCAAGGTGAAGAATTTGGCCCTTGGGACAATGTTGCTGGTCGTCCCCCTGTCATAGTTTCTCGAGTCACGGCAAGATCCGATTCAAATTTAGGTCAGCATCTCCAATTTCAAATCAAATAACAACTTTCCTAGGTCATGTGGTATAGATTCTGCCACACTATCATGACATTTGTGTATTTCTCCCCTAAAGTTGGATTATTTTTTATACTTTTTCTCCCCACAAACTGATATTTCTTCGTTTGGCGACGATTTTCTTATTTGTGAATTAAGAGAATTGTGCCAAAGAGAAGACCAGCTTTGTCTCTTTCAAGCTATGGAAAAGCAAGCAGAGCGAGTCGGGCCATGATGGCATTGAAGAGACTGACTCAAACAAAGAGAAGCTGCATCTATCTCAAACAATTGTTTCAGAATTTCATCAAGGCTCGCCTGAAGATCACTCCAAATGCCAAGACAGTGAAGCAGCCGATTACACCCTAGTTACTTCTCCAACATCTGACATGGTGATCATCTCTTATTCTTTACCTCAAACAATGTCTATTAGCATCTCCCTGTCATGTCCAAATAGGTTTGAAGTCCTAGATTTACGTTTGCTGGTCTCTTCTCTGCTTCAATTGCAAGTACCATGCATGGTCTTATACGTAATGTAGAAGAAGTGAATGTTCTTCTCGCAATTGTGTAAGATTTTAGTGCCAATCTATTTGATTTATATGTAATTCGGAGGGAAACGCTGCAACACAGCTGAATATCGGTGATAGAAGTTGGGGGGAGATGGAGAAGCTGCAGATCTCTTTGCTCGAATGTGCAACTGAGTACGAACTCAAGGTTCGTCGAATCCATTTTTTTTCTGTTCGAACAAATTATATGATGTGTGCGTGAAATCAAACAACTCTTTTGAAATCACTCTCAATAACATCATCAAGCCTTAAATACATGCGAATGAAAATTTCCGTATAATGTGTTGGAATATGCCTGTAGACGATTGAGATGAAACTGAAGCTCAAAAACATCAAAAACTTGAAGGGTGAGCAACTGATTATCGATCCTCAGCCGACGATCTCGGAGATACCAGAAGCAGACGTCGCCAGTACCAGAAAACCAACTGTTGCGGCATCCACGGTATGGATGCAGACTTAGTGCATGGATCTATCTTCAGTCGTTTTGCTCAATAGCCGAGATCCGGCTCACAAGTGTGAATAATCTAGTCAAGTGTTGGTCTCAGTTCAGTTAAGCTACGTGTCTCACCAAGTCCAAAATCGAGATGCACCAGGTGGAGAAGGTGAAGAGGCAAATTTACAAGCTGCAGCATCAAAAAGGGTGCCTGTCAAAGGAGCTGACAGATTTGAAGAAAAAAGAAAAGTGAGCAATTTTCAGGGCAGCACAGAGTGTAATTTGATGTTACATTGAAGAATTCTGTTCTTCATGTCGTCGAATCAAGCCTAGGGTAGTTTTCTGGTTTGCACAATCATTGTTCAGCATAACAAATAGAAGCGCAATCTGGTGATCAGACAGTTTGAGCTGCAGAAGAAGAGCTTAGATGCAGCGCTGCATAAGCTGGACCGACTTGAGTGGTATGTTCTTCGAACTGTGTGTGAGCACCATCCAAGTGATGAAACATTACTGAACTGGGCCTGTGCCTAACAGTGAAGCTGAGTCCATAAACATAATATTGAACAGTTCATAATCTGCAAACACAAAAATATACCTTGACCTCAAGCGTTGTGATGTGGATTCACACATTATATAGAGGCGTATTCTATGATTTGATGCAATTATCAAACCATTGTCCTGCGTGCACAGCATCTTCGGTAACCAACGTTATGATATCTGCTCTGTTTCCAAGTTGATTTCGTTAAAAGGATGCAGGGCGATGGTGAAGAAGGAGCAGGAAGTGGAAGAATGGCAGCTACGACAAAGGCAGGCTGAGGCGCAGCTGCGAGGTTCGGTGATGGAGTTGCGAAGATTTACCAACATTAGCGAACTTGTAGGTCTTCCTGTAGATGCGACTTCCTTGCTCTCTCTGCTTCCTACTTTGCGAGGCTTCGTACAGCTGTTGGCTCAGAAGGTAGGTTCTAACACTTCACTGCTCCACACTTTGCTTCTTAAATAGCTTGTATATAGACGTAGAGTAGGTTTCAACAACATGATCTGGGAAGCACGTGCACGACTAAATTTGATGCTTTGCTACAAGTTTGGCAGGAGAAAGACGGATATCACAGTAATGACAAATCTCAGCGAGAGGACACTCTTCATGATTCCATTGAAGTAGATGAAATCGTCTGTAATTTGATGCACGAGATTCAGGGTTTGCAAACTGAGCTGAATGGGATGGTTACTGAAGATTCGAAGCTTAAAGTATATTCCCTTAACCTGTTTTTTCTTTCATATCTGTCACGACTTGTAGAGCTTGCAGCGCCAATGTTGGAAATATCCACTATTCTGATTTTTGTTGCGAGCTGTAACTAAGGAGAAACTAAGAGCTTGTTGTATTTGCAGCGAATTACCCCAAGGTTAACTAATGGTGCGGGTAAAGATCGTGGTACTCACAAAAAATCTGTGCGGCCCTCCTTACGACTTCCAAGAGGCCGGTATCCGTATGGAAACCTTTGATCAACCCATCAAACTTTCGAAGATCATTTTTTTCTTTTTTTCTTTTTTGCCTCCAGGGATATGTTGGAACTGAGTGCAGCGAAGTGAATGAGCTTAAAGCTTTAACAAAGTCAGCATGTTACAACAATTGGGAAGTGCTTGGGAGAGAAGATACAAAAGCATAAAAACTCAAGGTCTATATTATCCGTTTTCAGTGTAAGAAATCACACAAGCATTGCGGACAACAATAATCCCACTCAACCTGCACTTACCCTAACGGTTCTTGTCACTCTTACCGCCAACCTAACAAAACGTAATCTTCAGTAAAAATATTTGTTGGAGAAAGCAACATATCTCCAGTGATCCGCGAATTCAAGTACTTTCAACGGCAGTTACTTCAAGATGTTATAGAATGTAGTTGCCCTCTTGCGCAAAGGTGTACAGACTTCCTGTAAGTACAAGCAACAGGCATAGACTTAAGCAATCAAATGTATGAAACAAAAACCTAAAAAAGCTTCAGACATCCGCAAGAATATCTCTTCCAGCTTCATATAATATTCTAGTCTCATATGGGGATACAAATTCAATTTTTCAGTCTTATCTTATAATTAACTCGCAGGGAAGTCTAGATGACAACAAAATCTGTACATCAATGCGAAATTTATGTTGAATATTACATTTACTCGCACAGCCTAACATAAACGAACACTGGTCCCTTGATTCTATTCAAAAGAAGCCCAGCTCAGTGTTTGACCCAAACAAACCTTACACAATCAAAAGTGGTAATCATAGGCGGAGCAAGTCACCTCAAATGCCGCGGCCACCCGAAATAGTGTAGCTTCCTGCCACGGTCGTCCAATGAGCTGCAGACCGATCGGTAATCCCCTAGAATCGTGACCCACCTTCACGTTCCAGGCAGGATTACATCAATGAATATTCTATGTAACTTCAGACTATTTATATGTGATACCTGCGACATAAAATCGTGCAGACTACGTAGTGTAATTGGATACAATGAGGCTCTGGAACTTTTCGGAAGTACTCAAACAACTGGGACCATACCCACATAGACAGCAGGATTGATTGAACCGAAGTTGAGATGATGTGGCCGTGTTACTCGAAGGCGCAAGTTTCAGATACAGATCCGAACCCCACTTTAAAATTTAAAAAATCGATTTGGATTCAGATTAGAGTTTCTGAAGGTACAAACACACAAAGAACGGCAAGTTCGTACTCACAGGGACAGAAATAGCAGGCAAGCCGAGAAAGTTTGGAGCTATGATGAACCGCATCAGGTTTCCTGCAGAACGGACAAGTTTTCAGCTTGCTCTGCGCACCGAACTTTATAAGTTCGATCTAACGTGTTCTTATCATGTGCATTGGTAAATTCGCACTGCCACAACGTTATGGTACGGTAATATAGTATTAGCATGTACAACGGCCGATGGATGATAGGGGGATGAGGTATCACGAGTTTTGCTTACCAACTGTTGTCAAATCACTTTCGCCAACCGTCAAGGCCGCAGATGAAATCACTGGTGCTGTTGTGCTGCACAGAACCTACTAGTGAGCTAAGCGATGCTTGTGGATCCAATCCTTGTGAAAGACCCAATCACTAAGATACAAATGTGCAACTGTAAAATTCTTCTCTGAACGATCGAATGAACGCTGAGTGGAACGACGATAACTAGATAAGAGGCTAACATAGAAATACTCACCCGGTGGTTGGTGTTACAATGACGTCCACACTCTCAAAAGCTTGCATGTAGAAATACATAGCTCGCCGCCTGCAAAGCAAGGCCCAAGAGAAAGATACAGTGAGCATTTCTAGAAGTTATTCGCTCAAAGATAATACCATAAAATGTTTGATGTGCAACGTTTGATAAAACTCCGCAATATGCAAAAGAGATAACAAAGTGAAACTGGATGCTAATTAAACCTGATCTTTTGGGAACTTAAGTAGTCAAGAGCTGTGAATTCCTTGAAGAGGCCAAGTGTCCCTTGAACCTCCAAACTGAGTTCTTTCAATCTGCGATACTGCAATAAAATACTGAAAAATCACGGGCAGAGACACCATTACAGTCAACGTACTAATAGATTGAGAATACATGGAGGCTAAGAGGAAATAAGAGACAAAGTTACGCACAACTTTGTATCATAGCCCGCTAATCCAGATACGTATTCAGATCCCACAGTACATAGATGCGCAATTTTAATTTCGTCCAATTCAGGCAAGATAATTTCTTTGGTCTGCACACACCATGCCACAATAATCTCAGACACCTCAGCGAGAGAGCTGATTCTACTTCAAAGATATAACCATCTCCTTATGTCTACATATCCCTGGACCTTACAAGGTATTACCATTTCTAGCTGAGAAGCACCGACCTAATCCAGTAATACAAGATAGACAACATGCATTAAAGGATTACCGATTTCGCCTCAAAAGAGTAACTGCAAATACTAGAACCGTATTGGAAATATGCCAAGCTTATCATGCTCCCAAGTTAAAGCCCCGACAAGCAATCTCTCCAAGACTTACCGCTCGCAACACGCGCACTTACAGGTAACGGCTTCTTCGAAATGGAATTCAAGATTTTTCTACGCTGCTTTGATAGAAATATGCACACTTAAGCCTAACCTAGCCCTGGATAGGTGTCCCACTTCCGCTAATCAAGGCTATAGTTAACCTTGATGCGGTCTACCTTCCCCTTATCATCCCGATTACTATCCCGTAATATCCAGTAGACCTCAGCGGATCCATTATGTTACGCAACTACCTCAATCCAAGCCGAACTGTATTTGTATTTATCTACATGCTGAAATACACACTGGACATACTACACAAATTTCTGTCTCAATTCGATGGGCGCAAAATTGAATTTGCAAATTTTAGGAATTGACAAGTTGGGCACTGTTTCTACGCATCTTATTTATGATGTTAACATCGTACCCATTCAACTAAAACCTATTGAGTAAGAAAAGATCATTTCAGAATATAGAACTTATATTAAACTGAACGAGTGTTACTTTATAATGCATTGAAGATGTGTAAGTTAATCATACATACCTCGGTTCCGAATGTCTCAAAAATAAGGTTCAGGCTTTTGTTGCACACCTCGGCTACCTCCTTCTCAAAAGTTGAATTGAACCACTGCAAGTGCAATTCCAATTACAACATAAAACATTAGAAGACAGAAAGAGAACAGTGTCAGGGAAAAATAAAGCGATTTCCATAGCATCGACTACAACTGAAATGACCTAAAACCAATGACGGAAGAAATTAAAGAAAATCTCTTACATCTGAATATTTGCCAAGCTTCAAAGAACCCATAATAGCTTGAAAGCCTACATTAAGGTCTGGGACGCATGGAGGCAGCTGCAAGATCATCACATGATTCATCCATACGAAGTCAAAGCACAAATTTCGTTTTCAAAGTAGAGACAGTTATGCACAAGCACAACTCTCAGATCCAGCAAGTCATAGTAACTATTCTGTGTGTTCTAATTAATAAAGCGACCACCGACAGGAAATGGTACAAACCGGCCAACTGTGGAGCTTGTCAGTTGGATGTGATCCGACCATTGCTGCATATCTAAACACACAAACAGAGTCGCCTTTATACGAATCCTTAGTCAGTTACGTGCTGCTGTGCATGATATACTGTAAAGGTAAAAATACTTTGCTAGTTAGATCTCCTCACAACCAATTTTTGAATTTTACATGCTTCAATGGAAAATACGTGCCCTTGTTAACGTTAGTCTTCTGAACACACAACAGCTGTTTTGACACACAACTTACACGAGCAGTGCATCTTCTGTACTTGAGGCAATGGGACCACTAGACTCCATGGACCATCCCACACAGAACAACCTGCAAACTCAATTGACACAAGAAAAAAACTTAGATGTAAGGGATGTAAGATCCAACGATATCACAAGAGATTGAAATCAGAATTATGTCTTAGGCTTAACACAACCAACAATACGTATATTTCTCCGACGCCCATATAAGAACATCTGAAAACTGCTGCTACCTAAAAATATTGGAAAAATATTGGCAAGATCAGACTCCCCTTCATCGGATGTCAAATAATGGGCACAATCAACAAATATGGTCTAAATCTCAACAGCATAACAGATAAGGGCATAAACGAGACAAAAAGCACGCCATTATTCACCACAGCTTCAACAGCCGCGAGATAACTTACAATGACAAAATGATCAAAGAGATGTGGTTATTGAGATAAGAGACTCGTACCCCTCATTAGTTATCCGTCCAAATGTAGGTTTCAAGCCAATATTTCCACACAAAGATGAAGGTATCCTGATCGATCCTATTTTCACAGAATAATATCCCAAATTCAATCATGCTTATATCCATCATGTAATACTTAGGACGCATATTCACAGCAGCTGAGAAATCAGAAGTCAGAATATTGACTACAGTAGAATTGAATTATTTGCTGAATGCTAAAACCATGTAACAGTCAAAATTTTAAAACCAGTGAGCAGAAGAAGCCACCACAAAACCCTCGTTCTCTCAAAATCAAATGAAAAAGTCAGAGCATAACACATCCCCGCACATGATCCTTATAATCTTATGTGCAGCAGCTCGCTCACCTCCAACATCAGTCCCTAAGGCAACGGGACACAACCCTGACGCAACGATTGCACCAGGGCCAGAAGATGAACCTCCAGTATACCGTCCCAGATCATGGGGGTTCCTTGCTGTCCTGGTACACCAGTTTGCAAAAAAAAATCATTTTGGACACAGCTGTGATATAGCTCAAAATTTCAAATGCACGATTCATAAATATGAGCATCTATGGCACTCAAGACAGCAGTAGGCAACCGAACAAAGAGGATATAAGAGACCAAACGAACTGGACAAGAAATTGTACCCATGATGAGGATTACTGCCAGTAGTTCCCATTCCAAGTTCATGCATAACTGCCTTCCCGATCATCATCATTCCACAACTTCGCAGTCTCGCGATCGAAACAGCATCTTCTTTTACTTCTCTCACTTGAGGAAGCCATTTCGTCCCAGCTGAAGAATCATGAATACAGGACAATAGGTAAGTGACCACAGTAGGATGAGCATTAGCGCAAGGATTGTGAAGAGAGTGCATTAGAGACCCAAAGCTAGAAATCAGTAGTTAAAGTGGTTCGGTGCTGGTATGCTGTGTAGATTGGCATACATAAGGGTCTTCGTGTGAAAGTAAAAGTTCATGTCTAAACAAATACTTGTACAGAATCTTAAGCAAGCCATGCTTCCAAAGACGGACTCAAACAACATGATACGACACATATGGAAAACAGTTGCATATATCAGACCCAATTCAAGCGAGACAACTTGCGTAGCGCTAGAACAGGTTGTTTTAAAGATACTGCACCTGTGCTTGGATGTGGAAGGCAGTCTATGTCATCCTTCACAGCTAATGGAACACCATCAAGCACAGACAGCGCCGTCCCTACAAAACAAGGCCAAGACGAGAGCAGATGAGAGCCTTTTAACAATAAAAGAAGATTACCTTTCAATAAAATTGATCTTCTTCCCAGTTTTCCCACCTTCCTCACTGTTTCATAAATTCATGAACATAGATGAGTTGAAAAATAAGTGGGTTCCTAGTGATAGTAAATTGTTTTAAAAAATTGGGCACAGTTTCTAGAATTGCGTGCCTGCATCAATCTCATCATGAACATGTTCACTGTAGGACAAGGGCAACTAAACTAAAACGCAAAAGTGTTTTAGCACCTTCGTGTTCATGTCCATCATCAGAAGAAAGAGATGATAAGAGCTGCTGTTGTATAAATGAACGCTTCCTTAGTACCTAACTCAAAAATGATATTCGCATTCACTTCTAAAGCTGAGACTCACCCTTCTTGTAACGTTCGGTAGACTCAGTTGCTTGCTTGCGAACATCCTCAGAGAGAAAGGAAATGAAGTATACCAAAGATGGGCTCCTCTTCTTGGCCTCCTCAACAGTAGCAATTATACGCTCTGCTACCTACAATGCGTTCATTGAAATCTTAGGATGCTCCTAGTCAGACGAAGCCATCCCATAGAAATGCAGCTGGGGCATCCAAAAACTCGAGAAAAGATTATTCGGCAATTTTATTTTCTACAGTGAAGTGTTCAAATCCGGTTCTTAAAAATCCTCAGTAAAGTAATTGAATCCACTCAACTAATTTATGCTTCTACTCTTATGAAGCATCCCTGGTTCCTTTCAGAAAATGTAACAAACTTTGTAGCTGATTGAAAAAAAAGGCTTACCTGAGTAGGTGTTACACGACCAGTCGTATAAGCCTCAACATAATCTCGAATCTTCCAGTACAGAAAAGGAGGTGAATCATCCTGGAAGTGAGACTGCCTTGCGGGTAAATGTTCAAGAGCAAAGGCAACTCTTTCTTTCGGGTCGCTTTCATCCAAGAAGTTCTTCACAGCTATTTCAGGAGCTTCTGTGATTTAAGATGACAGCAATCAGTGGTGACTTCATATCATATACCTCGAAGGAAATCAAATGTGGTCGAATCTTGATGACTTCAGACGATCACCCATTCGGATTGCGTAACTAATAGAGAAAGAATACAAAGGATGCCTTCTAAAAAAACTGCATTCAGCGGAAACCATACACTCCAGGCCACTTCTGTCTAACACTGATTAAGAATCACCAAAATTCATCTCCACGTCTTACGATTGGCAGGATATTCTGGTTGGTACATAGGAGCATCAGATATGATAATTTCACGCAAGCACTGCAAATATCACAGAAAAAAAATCGACTATTAGCGATCTACAATCATTCAAAACATTTGAAACAACTTACTGACAGTTGGAGAAACCAAGACTAGGGGGTAAAATTACGTGAGAGGATAAATTAATTATGTGCTTGTCAAACCTAGAAGCAGTATCTAATTTAACAAAAAAAACTAAAAATAAATAAAAAATAAAAAAAACGTATAAATCGGAGAAAGAAAGAAATTGATGAATACATCAATAGCCACTCATCTCCCTTGTCTGCCCCAACCACAACTCGTCTACAATATGGAGTTGGCACCTGTGGAAGGTTGTTCATCCTTAGCAGTTTTGACTTTATTAATTTGCCAAAAAGAAATGAACCTTGAGACCAAACGAACAAACTGAGCTGCCATCCAGTAAGCTTGGGAGCTGTCACCCATCAAACAGAGTGTCAATCTGAGGGAAAAGGTGAGAAGGTAAAAGAAACAGATTCACTTCATATTCACCTAAAAGTAGTACCCTCAACAAGAGTGTAAGCAAGGGAAACATACTCAGTACCTCTCTGTTCATCATTACCACCATGTTTCCACTAACAAAATGACAATCCACAGAATATCAATTCATTAAACAGATTTCAACGTCTACATACCATTACAATTCACTACCACAAAAAACAAGAAATGATACCCGTCTCAAGCTTTCAACACAAGGTTTCGAGGGAGACAGATTATTCAAATACCTATGACTTTAGCTAACTTGAATTCCAATTTGCCGCGAAGCACCTCATCCACTGGTCGCATCTTATTTTGCGCCATCTTTGCTGCAAGAAGCAGTATAAAGACCTAAATTACTGACAACACTCTTCCAAAGAAGAACTCAACTAAAAGACGCCAATCAATTTCTCCCACAACGACATTAAAACTCTAGTCACTTGATGATGTACTACATATTGACACATCTAGTTACTAACATCACCTATGCACTCACCCAACTGTGAATAAACGGATGAGAAGCGTACAATGACAAGAAGATGACCGTCAGAAACACATACCACCCACTTCGACGAACAAAGTACAGCGATTACACCCAAGGGCGTAGAGCCAATCACCCGCGGTACCCAACAACGTAAAAATTAAGCTAATTCGAGTCACTACTCTTCTGTTTTTTCCAACACAGTAACTGCACGTCGCAGTGCCCAACTCCTCACAAGAGGAAACTTCAAAACAACCCACTGCATAACCGATCGGAAAACGAAAACCACTTGCTCTCCCCACGTCAAACACCAACTATGGCAAAACAACGAGCGCAATCGCCCAAGTCCAGAGACAATAACCAGGCAGGGGCATCCAACCTTCAAACCCGTTGAATAGAAAGCAACAGGGTGCTGGAGAAAACAGCAAATATTCAGTGCGGCTCTACACTGGAGCACTGTAGCAGCAAGTTAACACCCAGCACCGCCAAACTGGACAAGGAAGAGGCACCTCCCGAACACAATCCCCTCTAACTCTTGCCGTTCTAATTCCTTCCCTTGAGCTCCCTCTACCAGATATGAAGTCAGCTGCAAGTGTTACTAAAACTGGATGAATAACATTCTGTTACTAACTAGAATGTGTAGAAAGCCAAGGAAAGAGCACTTCCAGTGTCTTAGTTAAGAGTTGGATAAGTCACAACTTTCTGTGCATAGAATATGAGACATTCAACATTCCTTCTCTGGAAATAGGACTTAATTCTTTACTGAAACAAGATCTAATATATCCCTAAAAGTTAGAAACTTATCTCTATTGAGAGATTTTGTAAAGATGTCAGTTGTCATGTGCTCCATGGGACAATACTCCAAACCAATTTGTCATTTTTCCACACGTTGCTTAGTAAAATGATGTCATGTATCCCAACACTTTGTATGGCCATGGTGTGTTGAATTCTTGACAATAACAATAGCATTCTAGTTAATCTCATAAATGAGAATCATGTCCAACTCAAGAATGGCATAATTCCTAAGTACTTTATAAAGCCACAAAGTCATCCTTATTGTAGTAGCCAAAACTATATACTCTACCTCCATTGACAAAACAAAAATTAAAGATTGCTTCTTGCTTGACCAAGTGATAATTGCTCCACCTAATATAAATGCATATCCTCATATTAAAAGATACATCTCCACACAACTTGCTCTACATACATCACTATAGCCTACAAGTTACAAATTTGCTTCCTTTCGTCTATATTGCAATACCAAATATTTTGTTCCTTGCAATTAACAAAATATTTATTTGATTCCTTGCCAATGCAAAACATATGGATGTGCCATATATTGAGCAAAGTATTGACAAGCAAATGCAATGTCATACTTTGTACCATTTGTAAGGTATAATAACAAACCTAAAGCTTATTAATAAAGCTTTATACCTTTTGCATCCAAAAGATCATCATTCTCATGCTTAGTAAACATGGTTTTGTACTATTAGTGTAGCAATTGGCTTTTCACCTTTTATCACAAATTCTTCCAACTTTTGACAAATATTCTTAGTTTTGCTCAAACTAATAGTGTTATTTTTCTTATCTTACACAAAATCAATGCAAAGAAAATCATTAGGTTCACCAAGGTCTTTTATCTTGTAGCACTCTTGCAATTCATTCTTGTATTTTACAAGGATCTCAAAGTTTTTTCCACCAATAAATATATCATTGACATAGATAATTAGTGCAAGAACTATTTTCTTAATATACATTGTGTACAAATTGTTGCTATCTTTAATTATAATTAAGGATAGCTATAATTGCAACAAATATGAACATTGTTGCAAAGCAAGTAATTGGTCCATAAATTTATTGGTAATCAAGGCCTTTTACTTGAGTAAAAACTTTTGTAATCAATTGTGCTTTAAAACATTCAATAGAGCCATCACTAGTAAGTTTTTTCTTAAAAATCGATTTTGAATCCACAACCTTTCTACCATTGGATAAAAATAAAAATTTCTATGTACTATAATCTTTCAAAGAATCAAGTTTTTTCTTCATGGGACTCTACTCTTTGCAAAAAGGTGAATTTATGGCTTGCTCAATAATCTCTAATTCTGCATATTCATCAATATAAACTACATCTACTATTTCAATGGACAAGTCATAATCTCCTCAAATAGAATTCTTGTCTTTTTTCTAAGGTATGCAATATATTCTACTACCACTTATAATATTTGATGGATCAATGCCACCTACATAATGATTTATTGGTGGTAGAGCTTGAGTAGTTGCCTCTACTTTTGGTTGATGAAATTCTACTACTTCTATTGGTATATGATGTGCTTTCTCTTTAACCATTTTTCCATCTAATCCATCATGCACATGTAATGTTAAGGCTTGAGGTTGGAATATTTCTAATTCATTTGGATGTTGAAAATCTGATATATCAAGATTATTTCTATCATCCATATCTTTTCCAATTTTTTCTTGATGGATTAGTGGCTCATGAAGTAATTCACCCTTATTATTGAGAAAAATCTCATCTTAACTAAAGATCACCTTCTTCTCCTCAAGTAGAAAAATTTCACATCTTTTTTCTATTTCTAAATATCCAACAAACATATCCTTCTTTGCCTTTGCATCAAGCTTTTGACCTTTTTTTTTGGTATGTGATACCAAGCAGGAAAATCAAAGTAATGAGCATTTTGAACAAAATATTTTTTATATCTTCAAGTGACTTATTCACATAAGGCATATTAGTAGGTAAATCTTATCTTATGCCTTGTGAAATTGAAGAAGTTGCTATAATTTCTAATTCATCTATTTTAAGTTGTATATTTATTAAATTACATCAAATATTAGCACATGCTTCAATACAAACAACAAAGAAGACAAAGAAGATCAATTGTTTTAAAGGATTAAAGATCAAAGAAGAAAAGGATAAAATACCTATATGTGAGTCATGCATTGTTGACAAGGCTTATAGGCAATCTTTTTCATATAAGCATAAGCATGCTAATGGTATTTTAGATGTAATAGTGTCTGACCTTGATTATTTTAATATGGCTGGATAATATTAGATCCTAAAAAAAAATGCATTCTTGTGGTTGTGAAAGATGTCTACTAGATTCTTGGAGCATGTGATACTTTATTATCAGCTACAACTTTATGCAAGAAAGGTTGAAAATTTAACCTAAATATAAATGGAATCATATTTTCATCAAAATTGAGAAGCTTACTTTTGTTTGATTGGATGTATACATCTACTACACTATCAATGCATACATAATATCATAATTGAAATAATGATGCAATTATTATTTTTAAATTAAATGATGTCTCTTAAGCCAAAAGAATAATAGCAACTTTAACATTTACTATACCATTGTTGTTTGTTTCAAGACATTTTGCATTATCTCGCCAATGCTCTTTTTGTCTACAAGCCTTACAAGTACTTCTAGACTTATCAATCTTAGGCTTCTATTTTATTAAGGATGGTGTTTCTTTAAGACTTGTTTTTTCTCTTGCATGCACTACTAAAAGAAAAAATAAAAGACTAATCTTCTCCCTCCTTTGCATCTTCTCCTCAAGAAATATAGATTGTACTACCTCTTTTGTCACTTCTTCTCTTTTTTTTAATGCAACCAATTGAATAAGTAGATGCTGAGATTTTGGTAATGCATTAAGTATAAGTAATGCCATACTTTATTTATCCATTTCACCATTGGCTTCAATATATTGATTCTTAAGATAAAAAAATCTTTCCAAAAAAAATCTCTATAGATTTTCCATTCAATTTCTTCATTAAAAATATCTCAACAATAACCCCTGAGGGCTTGTGGATCTTAGCTAATACATCCCACATATCCTTTGTAGCATTACATTTTCATATATGTGCTAATTGAAAAGGCTTAACATTGAGTGTAATCAATGCTTGTGCTTCTCTTTTGCTTCATTCTCATTTTAATTTTTCATCAATATTTGTAGGACATTTTTATATCTCATCTACATGCATGTAAAGCTTGCAAATATGCATCAAGTATTTCATAACAAATATCCATGTACCATAGTTTTTTTTCATCTAATTGATCAATGTAATGATCCATTGAAGGTGCCAATGCCAAATACAATTAATGCAATAGCAACAAATAATTATAAAGAAATAGTTAACAAATCATCTATAAAATATAATATTTGAGAGAAGTAGTAGTATTAAGCTATATTGAACAAAAAAAAACTTGTTTTCACCACCATCAATAAATATAATTTAATTAAATAAAAATCACCATTAATAGAATTGAATTTCAACTCTAATAGCTCTAGCAGGGCTGCAGCAGCTCCCAAACTTCAGTAGTGTTCCAGTAATGATGGAGCTCCAACAGCAAGTAAATCATCCATGTTTTCATTTACGAAAAACATCCATTTTTCATTCAAATTTTATTTAATAATATTCATTTGTTACACTTTTCATCCAATTTTAATATTATGTTATGAAAATTTCATGAATAATATTATATTGCAAACAAAAATGTGTCAAAAGCCAAAGAAAGAGTACTTCTAATGACTTAGTTAAGAACTAGATAAATCACGGCTTTCAGTACATAGAATATGGAGCATACAACAGCAAGTCATTATATCATAAGTCAAGCAACACTTCTCAAGGTGTTGGTTTATGCAATTATAACATGTGAAATTGGACAGGCTTCAATCCTATATCATAAAGTAGAAGGTGTGTATTGCTCTAACTTAATTGGTGCAACAACATTAAAACTATCTACTCAGAAGCAAAATTCTTTGTTCAGCATTCCAAACTTCTAACAACATTTCATTTTCCACAGCCTCTACTTTATATTCAGTTATGTCGATGGCTTGTGCTCACATTAACAACAACAACAATAGTACCACAAAGACTTGATTAGATGTTTTAATCAAAACTTATTGGACCCAATTCTGGTATTTAGCAAATGAGTCATAAACAATGTTATAAATTACATTTTGATTTTGATGAATAAAGTATGATTTAGTTGATAGAGAGGATGTTTAGAAGTTTTGAGATTTTTTTAACAAATTTTTATGCCATTTGGAATTAGAGGCACTTGCATATATCTTTCATGTGTCATATTTTAATAATAAAAAAAAATTAAAAAAAATAAAAACTTTAGAATTCTAAAATAATGGTTATGACATGGTCAAAATATTAAAAATACACATCAAGAGAAAAAATTTAAAATAGATAAATTATTTTAGAAAAAAATATTGTCATTCTAATAAAATAAAGACTAAAATGATGCATAAAATAGTTAGATTAATAAAATATCTTATTTAAATAAGAAATTTAAAATCTATACAATATATCTATGGTTTTAAATAAACCAACTAAAATTTGGGTTGTAAATATTTAAATAAATCAATAAATAGAATGTAAAATTTATTGATAATCTAAGAAAAATTATAAAAGTGAATTTTTTATTCAAATATTAATTATTAATTAAAAAAAATCTAATATCAAATAGTATAAATTTTAATTTTGATAAATTATATTTTAATGACTTATATATATATATATATATATATATATATGTATATAATATTTTTTAATTAATTAATTATATTAAAATTTTACTAAATTAAAATTTTAATTTAATCATATTCAAATTTAAAATATTATATATATATTCATATATTTGCATATTTCATGCTTTGTATAACTTAGATGATTTTGAATCTAGTAATATATATTCTATGTTATTATTGTCTTAGCCTTTTTTATATCTTTTTAGTTATAACTTTATTTTGAATGTATCTTGGCTTTTAACTTAGTGCAATATGTCCTTACACTAACTCTTTGTTGCAATGTTAGAAATTGCCTACAAGACTTATCACATCATACTATTTTTAGATATATCATTGCTAAAGATATAAAGAAATTGTCTTTCCTACTTGGATGAAGTGAAGATATAATACAAAAAATATACATCATACTTAAGAGATGAAATCTAAAATTATTTGTATTTATTTTAAAATAAATAGTATTATTTTTTATTATATATATATATATATATATATATATATATATATATATCAATGATATTTTATATAATTTTTTGAAAGTCTATGGTTATAAGAAGATTCAATTTTAAATATAAGGTCTTCATAATATTAATTAGGATTCTAATGACATTAAAATTTCTTAAGACTAATTTTATACTTAAACTCAATTATTGAAAGTTAGTTGCTTTAAGTAAATTTTATTGCAAAATATGGACTAGAGTACTTAAGATGGTTGTCAATTATCAAATTAATCTTGGCTATAGAGAAGAAATTAAGATTATTAATAGTGTGTACTAAACTTCATTAAAATAATATTTTTTATCTTAAAACAAAATTTATAATATTTAAATTTTAAAATAATTTTAAAATAAATACAATAGTAACATATATCATAAAAAATACAGATAAACATCTTAGATAAAATATGATATATAAAATAATCATTACAATTTTTCAAACTTAAAGATGTCTAAACTATTGATAAATTATTTTTTGTTAATTATTTTAATACGTCATATTTTTATATTAATTTATATATGCTTAAAATAGTATTTTCTACTGCCACCACAATTTGCCATCTACCACATGTCAACATAGTTTTTACTATTGCCACCACAACCCATCACCCACTTGATGTATTTTTTTAGTATTTTTTTTTTCAATCAAAGAAATTATTGATTTTTTTAAAAATCAAAATACGTGGAAAATCAATTTTAATTTCAATCATTTTTTTATTAAAAATTTAATAAAAATAATTTGTGATGACAATAATAAAAACTTTGGTGGTATGTGGTGAATGGCAAATTGTGGAAACAAAAGCAAAAACTGTAATGACATTGGGAACACCCTTAAAATATTTTATTTCTAAATTTAAAAGTTAATATTTAGCAAATTGATAAAACAAATGCTCTTAACATAATAATAAAAATATATTAGAAACACAAAGTTTTTTTTAGCAAATTGTGCTTATTGTATTTCATAATCGAACCAACTTTAAACATTATTCATTATATTATTATGTAGAGAGGAGGTTACTAATTAAGTTATATAAAATTTATAAAAAAAATGCAAAATAAAATTACTCAAATATAATTGAATATAGTATCTAAAAAATTAAAGATTATGTTTAAATGAGGTAATTAAGTTATATAAAATTTATAAAAAAAATGCAAAACATTTATGCAAAAATTTATTCATTGCGCTAATTATCTTATAATTATAATAAATGTGAAGCTAATTTAAATTAAAAACTCTTATTAACTTGAAATTTATGTCATATGGTCCAGTTCAAAAAATTGCTATAATGATTTTACATAGTGTTTCTTTAATTAGTTGGCATGTTCAATGTTTAATACAAAATATAATCACACAAGTCGACTTATTCAATTTTTAAGATAGACCAAAGAATTCTTTACAAAACAATTTAATTATTATTAATAAATTTTTAATAATCTAGAAAAGCATTTTCATGAATGTTTTATTACTGGAAACATAGTAAGCAAGAAAATATTTCATTTATAGCTAATATCTAGTAATTTTTGTGTTTCAATTCACATAATTGGATATTCATTTAGTCTATTATACTTTATGTAGTTAAACACATTTTTTTCTATGTTGTATGCAAGTTTTGATTTGGTGCAAGAATTCAGTCTTAATTAAAGCACATCATTCTTGCCAAAAAACTGCTAGAATAATACTATAACATAGATTAAAAGTAGTACATTTTCTTAATAGAATTCATTGCATTTACTATTGGTATATGGCTATATGGTATGTTTTTTGATATTACATGTCCATAGGTGAGCACAGATGGACATCTCTTTTTTTAACATGTTGCTAAGAAAATTAAATATTATTTTATTTTAGAAATAAAATCTAAATAATACAATTTATAAATACATGATAATATAGGTTATTTTTATTTTTACAATGTACTATGTATATATATATATATATATATGTGTGTGTGTGTGTGTGTGTGTGTTTTATTAATATTAATTAAATTAACTAATAAGTTGAAATTATTTATTTTATAAAATTTATTGTATAATTTATAAAAACTGACTTGTAAGTTTGAAAACATTACAATGTAAAAAATAAAATAAAAATAAAAGTATTCTAAATTAAATCACTACATCATAGACACGAAACATTCCATTTTATTTTGGGGACTAATTTCCACCATATATTTATATATATATATATATATAAACTCATTTTAAATTTGTAATGACTTGAAACAAAACAACTATAATAATAGAGGTGAACTAAGGGTACATGCTTCCTGGTGTACCCACTAAACATGACGCAGACGCGCGTCAAGATTAGAGACCCGGCACGCATCTTTTCCAGAGTCAGAGGGAAGGGAGACAGTGGACGAACGAGCAGGCAAACGAACAAACGAACGAACTAACGCATGAATGAATGAGATGAAGGATGAACTTATGGATGGATGAAGAAGGGGCCGAAGACACGAGGCCAGCCAGCCAGGGTTAGGGTGTGGGCAACAAACAGTGAGCGAGAGAGGGAGCGAGGGAGCGAGGGAAGGAGTCGGGGAAGCGGGGGAAGAAGAGAGAGGTCTTTCTTTCTCTGTTTCTGTCTGTTTGCTCTCTCCCTCTCACTCACTCACGCACTTTCTTCATTCCATTCGATCCTGCGTGATGCTGTGTTTTCAACGATCGCTCGTCGTCGTCGTCGTTGTCGTCGTCCCCGTCGTGTCTCGTGCACATTCGCCACCTCCGCCGTCTCCGGCTTCGCCTTCCTCCGTCTTTCTCCTCCTCCGCTTCGGGACTTCTCTCTCACGCCAATTCTCTCACCCTCCAATTGCTCCCACCCCTCTCGCGAATTTGGGTAGCACCAGTGATCGGCGCTTGAGTGGTCGCGATTGCGAGTGAAACGCTGGTCGATCCCTGCCTTCATGCGCTCTGACATTGATTTTTGGGCGTCGTAGTGTGGTTATTTTACTGCGAGTTGGAGTTCTTTGTGAGGGGTAGTTCGCGACGGTTAAGCATTCAATTCAGTTTGGGGTTGGATACCCTTATCTGGTTACAGGAGCGGTAGTTGGCTGTGGCTGTGGCGATTAATGTTGAGCTTCATCCAGGTGAGGACTGAACCGGTGTCGGTGTTCGTTTACTGTGGCCAACTAGCATCCCCTTAGAGTGGTTTCGCAGTGTTTGCAAGTTCATGGATGTTGTGTGCGTGGAAAGTAGCGGAGCACTAGTCTGCGTTTCTGATTTGATCGTGGAGTCGGAAGCTTCTGTGCATGAATGTTTTTTAGAGACTGAAATTATCATGAGATCTACTGCAGTAATATCGTAGTTAGGATGTATCAATCTTACAATTGAAGCGTTTCACAGGAAGCAGATGTATGTTAGTATTTTGTGGCTGTCCCGTCGACCTTAGCGGGTTTCAAGACGATTTTTCGATTACATTGGAAGTCTAAGAACAAATTGTGGGATTCCCACCTACTGATAATCTGCTTGAGAAGCTTACCGTTTCAATGATTTTAATTTTTCCAGATGATGAAGCTTTGTATACTCACAGTATTGTTTCTTTAGTGCCTCTTCTAGAGTTGGTTACTTCCATCATATGTGGCACCTCTGTGAAAAGGTTTAATCTCATATACTATGTTGGTGAAGTTATGACATTCCAAGAGCTCGATCAATTTTCTGGGTTCATAGATGTACTACGATTTTAATCTATGTTTTTATGTAATTTAGTGCAGAACCCTGTGAGACGTTCGTTTTCTGCAACGTTACAGCGAAGCTTTTCCTGAGTCGGAATGAATGCTTGCCCTCCCCTTCTTTTCTGATACTGTAATCATCCCCACTACGGACATGAAATGTATTCCTTCTTGGAGACATCATCATGGTCAATACATGCCTATTAAACGCACAGATAGTTCAAGCGATTGCACAGTTTCACCCGTCATTCAAACCTGTCGCAAGATACTGTGCACAGTAAGACCTGGCGATTGAGAAACTCTTTTATTCCCCTTCATCATCAATATGTAGACTTGGCTACAGCAGCAATTGTATGCAATCTAGTCAAACTTTTGTGCCTCTGCGAGATCTCGTAAAGCGCCATGTCACAATTGAAGAAGACAGCTCGCCGTGGTTGTGTGATGGGAAGTTGGACGGAGGAGTCTATGAAAGAGGCTATTAAAGAGGTGAAAAAAGGCAACGACTCCATCCGCAAGATAGGAGACCGATATAAAATCCCTCCATCCTCGATTCGCGATTGGATGAGTGGGAAGACCTCGTCCAAGAAGAAGGGTCCCCGAACAGTTCTTTCGAAGGAGGAGGAGGATGCTATAGTGGAATGGTGCTTGACAAACCAGCAGATGAGTCGTGGAATTACCTTTTACATGCTGCGAAAGAAAGTTGCAGATGTTTGCCAGGGACGAGAGACTCCATTCAAAGATGGTGTTCCTGGCAAAAGATGGCTGGAATGGTTTCGAAAACGACACCCGAGGGTAGTGATTGAGCCAGCTCATGCATTGAAAGGAAAAAAAAGACCTGAATCGGAAAGGGAAGTCTTGACGGCTAAAAGAAAAGAGTTCAGTCCTTCACGACTGCTGGTAGCTTCGGACAGAGATATATTGTCGCAGGAATTTGTTGATCGAAGTATTCTTGGCGCCGTGTTGGGTGATAGTTCCGGGCTGGACGATCACGAGTCTCACGTGATTCTGACACAGACTCTCACTAAAATAGAGGAAGAGGAGCGTACACTGGTAGCAGCGTCTGGTCCGACCAAAGGCAAGCTTTTATTTCTTCATTTTCGTCATGATATTTGTGGATATCTCTCACTCAAGCTCCTCCATCGAGGATTTTTAATCGGCTTCATTTCCTAACCATGGCAATTAACTGTGGGCTGTTGATTATTAGAGTCGCATCCAGTTTTGTAAACCGTTATCAAATTTCTTCAAATATCTCGACTTTAGACACAACACGCCTACGGCGATGTTCTCTCAATTGAGTTCTGTAGTGAACTCTTAATTTTTTGTAGATAAGGGACATTTGAAGGGCTAGCTTCCATGATTTTCGAAGATAGGTAGGTTGTATACTTATCCTACATTTTAAAGATTTCTGCATTCACTGTTTGTAGGTCATGAAGATGACACGATGAGCAGCTTTGGCGGACAAAATGACAGTTGCGTGGATTGCACGCCCTTTGGTACAAATCAGGAGAAGAATGATGTCTCTGAAAGCCCAGCTGAAAAATCGATGAGCTAATGAGAAGCAAACACATAATACAGGAGCAAGCTGTCTGTTTAGGTGCCCATCAATGTGGACGTCCTGTGCAGCCTTGTGCAGCCCCAGGATGCGTTGGTGGATGAGAAGTTAAATCCCTCTTCGACCACGCTAGTACTGTTAGCATCCTTGACCTCTGAGTTGCCAAATGTTACTTCATCAAAAGAGTCTCTACGAAAGTGAAATTCTCTGTGCGCGATAAAATCCACGCCGTGGTTGCTTCGAGAGTCCCAGAACTGTTGGTTGCGGCTACATTCTGGGGGCATTCACGCCACTTAGATTACATTTTTCAGATAATACATTGACATATTACGATGTTGCGTGCACATCATCATGGCAAAGGTGTGATTGACAGAACCGTTTTGGGGACTAAAATCTTCGCGGGAAAGATTATGGTATACATCGTGGGTGTATGGGCAGCATGATGTAGGGTAGAACTTGATCTATCAGTACTGCAAAGACGCTGTTGCCAAATATGTTGTGCCACATTATAAACTGGTGAGATCAATAAATGCAGTGATCCAGAACCACTCTATATTTACGTATTAATTGGCATGTTCACAACAGCTGAAGATCGTACTACTGCCATAAAGATTGTCAACCGATACAAAGGAAAGATCAAACACAAGACCGAAAGATACTTCACAAGACATTATTAAAATCATTCGATTAAGTGTAAACAGATACAGTCCGAAATGCCATTCTTGCAATAATATACAGAGTTTACCGGCTTATACTTTAGTCGTGACTCATTCCTAAACGACTTTGTCCAGCCACATCTTAACAGTATTAATCGCCTACATCAAGGGTTCCACTGAAATATGCTTGCGGTTTTGTCACCATAATGGACCACACACGGAATCGGCTCCAACAACAACCTTAAAGAATCAATCAATCGTTCCTTAAAGTGGGTGTACTTTTACTGACCTAAGTGAAATCACACCACTTCTTTGAGGAGTTAGAGTTCTGCTAACTAAATATGCAAAAGCGAACCGCATCAACCACCGACTGGAAGCTCAGATCCTGGACCTTGTTCTGTGCACAAGAATGACTTTGCCGCACACTAAGGTGTCTCTTGCGACACACACAGCTGCAAAATTTTATAAATTATCTGGAGCTTGAAGTAGCTGGCTGATGCAGCTCTAGACTTTCATGCATGCAACTTGGTGCTTGCTGTCGGGTAGCTCACACAACCGCGGATGTACCATGTTGCATTGTACTGTTCCCATAGGACAACCTGGTTTCCCTCTTCAACCACTTCACCCTGGATTGGAAAAGAAAAAAACAAAAGTTTAAACAGCTGATGTTTGACACTCTACTTTAACACACATGTACGTTGTATTTGAAGTGATACGACTTCTTTAGAGGAGATCCAGCTAGCACATTTGGTTTTGTGATGAGTACAGTACTAAAAGCCCCACGCTTTCAAACTCAAAAGTGACAAGATGCTCGGTTCAGAGGGAGGAGGGTTGTACGCACCCTTCGATTGCAGAGAACATAGCTGTCTTCTTCCAGTACTACAGGTCTTGAGCTCCGGAGACTGTCAATTCCATTTTCGCCTCTACTTTGGTAGAAAAAGTCCAAAGCGGTTTGAACCCGCGCCCTGTCTCTGGACTGAAGCTGCCCCCAGTAGCCATCCTGGTCGATGCTGGTTCCTAGCTCGCCAGTAGATGAGAGCTGCGTGATCCTGTTGATTCTCACCTCCATTGAAAGATTTCTCGATATGAGGGATTTAAGATCCTCAGAAACCTGAGCGTCCCTCACACCGTTAACTTTCTGATACCTCCATCTCACTTGGTCAGCACAGATGGCAAGCATAGCCTCCAAATCCCCAAATCTGGACAGCGCTTCGTCGAATAGCTGCCACCGCACTTCCAGGTGACGCATAACCGCCTGCCATGCCTCCCTCCACCGTCAGAAAGATGAAACTTAAAAACAATGTTGACGACCTAAACTGCTCTACACGTAATGACTGAGACAGCAGCAATCCAGCACTAGTCACAGTTTTGCAGGGAGAAAAAGCACCACCTCACCTGTAATTCCATGCGAACATTCCAGTCCACATCGTTGCTGCCGGTGTCCAGGTTGCTGTTGTAGAAATTCTCCTCATCCACGTCGGCAGATGTGTTGTCTTCGTCGATGTCAACTGACTGCTGAAAGCAAGGCCGGGAGCAAAACAGGAACCGGAGTAGACCACTACTGGCTTTAGGTCGATGAAGATTGTACGAGTGGTGACCAAACGTATCGTTCGTGATGTTGTTCTTGCCCGGAGGCGGAAGGCGATAGGTAGTGAAGTTGGCACTCGGACTCATCGGCTTCACACCCATTTTTGCCCTCTATAAGCACAAACACACAGAGGCGGAGAGTAAGAACAGGGCATATTTGGGTTTTCCCTGCGTGATCAGATCCCTGAACTTAAATTTTATGCCTCGTCATTATGACTAAATTAATTACATACCGAACTGACCCACCGTGAGACGAAGTTTTCACGTGTAAGTAATCAAAGATAGTGAGGTGGCTTCGAATCTAGACAAGGAAGCTGAGAGCGCAACGGACTGTTCAACACGCAGGCGCCTTTACCACTCTAATACGACATCTCAACTTCGGCACACAATGCAATCCTGTATTTATCAACTTCACCAAGTCTCTAGACTGCTCAAGTTCCAAACTGTTCCAGTGGAAACAAATGAGAATTTGGGAAGTCCTAAGCCATACTGCTGATGTCCGCATTGGGAGCGAACTAACTAATCCAGTGCATGACTTGAAATAACTACGCCAGGACGATCACAGCTCGTATCACGTACTCAAAAACACCAATTCTAGTTCCTAATTATCTACCACAGTCAAGCTATCCCTTCCCCGTGGCTTGGAAAGCAGGGATTGACGAGCAGATTCAAATGCCTCAAGCAATGCCAACATCTACGTCTACAGGGCACCGCTACACATCGGAACGAGTAAGGGAGAAAACGTCTCGAGATTCGTTTCAATCTTGCGCTCTCTAAAATCCTGTACACATGCCTTCGCATAGCGCCTTCTATCACTACTTGGAATTCCCAGCTCTCGGTCACAACCTGAATAAATTTATAACCGTCGGAGGCACCAAACTCGTAGATTACACCCCAGGAAGACCCGATTTCTACGGATTCTGAATCACTCGCACCGCAACAGCACCTCGACAACCTGAACACAAACAGACCATGACAGTAGCTCGGAGCACTCATACAAACGCACCCCTTAAGTCTCGTCAAGGATTTGGTGAACGCTGCAAAACAGGCTGCAGTAGATGGCCTCAACTACCACCGCACCATTGTTTTATTGTTTTTTTTGTGTGTTTGTTCGTTTGTTTTTGCTCAATTGCGCCAACCTTTGCAAAACAGTCAACCGCACCTACAATCGAAACCCCGGCAGCTCCTCTCCCCTGAACAAAAGCTAAACCCTGACATACAAATCCAATCTAAGATGAAGAAGCATGAGGTTGTAGGCTACTGATCACGGAGTAAGGCGCAGTAGTGGAGTGCCTATGATGAGGAATGAGCAGCGGCCCTGACAGGCAGGCGGGCATATCCAGAATAGAAGTAACATTTGAGCCTGACAGGGCGATGCGGATACAGCAGCCTCTCAACTGCGACAAAACTAAGCACCCTGTGCGCCTGCAGGGGGGGGGGTATAAATATAGAGCGCGGGGCATGTGTGCCATTACTGCGTGCGTTGCGAGCTTCACTTGCTGCTGGCCTTGGAACTCGGAGAAAGCCTCGGAGGGACGGGCCGAGCCGGGTGGGTTCGGATCCCCCCCCCCTCCCGTCCCTTTCCGTGCTATCTTCCCCCAGACATTTCCATTCTCCATACCTTTTACTTTTCCATTCTCCAGCTATGGGACTTGTACCCCCTGTCAAGCAATATTTTTGACGTGCCGTATGATGCTTTCTATCTAATTTGGACATACCCAAAGAATGTAACCAACCAAAATTATGTTATATTAAATGTTAAACAATTCTGAAATGTGATCATGTTTAGCATTTGTCACTTTTTTCCTTTTTCTTTTTCTTTTTTCTTCCTTGCATATGTTGTGACAGGTCGTGTTGAAATCTTAACTAGAGATATTGAAAAGCCTTTAAACGTACAAATACGAGTAAAAAGCAAAAAAAAAATGTACAAATGGTTAAATTGCTGAATAATGCAGTGAAAAAGTACATGTCTCGCATCCGATTGTCTCTCAATTGATGTTAATTTGTCGAGGTTCTCTAGACACAGTTGAGAATTGATTAACGAAGCAACAAGGTCCTTTAAAGGAAGGGGGTGTTTCAAACCACGCCACATTCTATGTTAGACGGGGAACTTTGTCCCAAGCAGGGACAAGAAGGGCCATGTCAAAAAGTAAAAAGGAGTCCCCCTTTTTTATATTAAAAAAGGGGGGAGGTGGGGTGGTTGAGGATCCAATTGAAGGCCGAAAGAGGGCTGAACAAGGAGGCCCATTTGTCCAATTGGGGAGGCTTGAACCCCCCCCCCTCCAAAGGGGATTCTCAAAGCAAAAGGCTCCTTCATATAGCTTTTGCCTTTTCTCAATAGCTCTTTAGAGCATGTTTTAAAAGCCCTGGAATCCTGCTTCACTGGCACCAAATATGCTAACCCGTGCTCATCCTCACTGCCCGGTTTCTGCTTTAGGTGCCAGCGTATTCCAATAAGCTGTACGGGCTGGAATTGGGGGCAGGCCCCACTATATTTCTGCTCTGCCACCCTGCCCTCTCCTGCCCAATCTCGCACTGCCCAAACTCAAATCTTCGGTCCCTTTGTTTATATTAAACAAACACTTTGCTAATTTGGGTGAGAGTGGACAAGGCGTCTTACATTAGTTTTGAAGCTGCGGGCAGTGATTTGGTTAACTCCTCCACAACTTTTTTTTGGGGGGGTAGGATCTGCCCGGAAGTTAACCGGCTCATTAAGGCCTACTTTGTCATTTATACTTGGGAAGGACAAAAGTGGCATCATTTTTATTTTTATTTTTATTTAATATTTTCTGCTAGTTAAAATTATTACTGTGAGTAATTACACCATGATGTCAAAATTTAAAAGAGGTATTTGGGCTTATTCATTACAAGTTGTTAAGAAAATTTCGTGAAGAAATAGATAAGTAATATGTATCCCTTTTTTTAATACTTCCTCACTTCCTCCCTCAACTCTTTGCTCTGCAGTCATGTGTTGATCCATTTTTCGCCAATCAATGCTCTCTGCTTTCAACAAGATAGATTATGTCTGTATTTGTGTATGAATGTATGTGATTATATATATATATATATATATATATATATTATTTTTATAGAAATTATTATTGTGATTTGCTTGTTGGTTACAGTTGGCTTCAGAATGTAAACATTAATTTTACCCTGTCCACACTAATTGGACTTCAATTATTTTATTCTCAAAAAAGAACTAAAAGTATTGCTAAGTTCCTGTTGATTTAATACCAAATAATAATATTAATGTTAATAAGTTCCTTAATTACAAAATTCAGCAATTGATGTTGCGCTTGGTTAATCAGAAAATAAACAATGTTAGTGTTAAGTTGCAACCGTCATTCAATCTCATTAATTTAGAGACGTCCAATTACACGCCATCCACAGCAAATTCCATTGATTTTTCTCATTTAATACACTCAAATACATACAGACAATAATAAAATCAGTAAGAATAAATAATCACTTGCATGCATCAAAAAAATGCAACAAAAATAAACCTTCTTACACAAACCCATTTACTGTCAATTGGAATGCTGCAACCACTGTCGAGCACCTCTTTTGTTTGAAGAGGATAAAATTTTCAAAACACAATAATATACAAACGAATTTGTTTCATTTTTTTAACCAGTGCAGTTTTAATTAGGATTTACAATCACGAGGAGAAGAAAAATTAGTTAACCAACATTGGTTACATAAACAAATTTTAAGTTGAATCTCATATGTCTAATCATACATTTTGTTAAATTTGAAAACTTTTTAGGGTCATTGTTCAAAGTTTCTGAGACACTGGAGAGAGTAGTTGAATGTAGCAAATTTAGAATGTGGAATGTGCCACGTCACAATGCCATGTCGCCAAACAGTTAAAGGGCCCTGGAATCCAGAAGCATTGGTCTGTGAGATGCGGACGGTTATAGGTGCTTCTTCCAATCAGGCATCTATGAGCGTGACCCATTAAATGTATGTTGTGTGATTTAACTACATACGGCGTCATCAACGGTTGGATGTGAGTATTTAGTAGAAACTTAAGAATGTGGGTCTGTTACTTTTTTATTTTTGTTATTCCATTACGTTGAATTGCGTTTCTCCTGTGTGGATAGGTATCTGAGTAAACGAAGTTAAAAAAATAATATTCTGTGACTGGGAAAAACCTGGAAATAGATTGTTGGTGTCAGTGGTTCCATGTTAGGGTAAGCACTATGCATTGAGCATTAAAAAATATATAATAAAATAAATTAAAATTTATTTAGTGTTTTTGTTTGTGGTTATTACTAATTTTTTTGTAATTTGTGTAATACATTCTGCATTGGTAGCTGGGGTTTTAGTTTGATTGATTTGTTTATTTCTCAGTGAAAGGAGCTGATGAGTAGGATAAATTCGTCAATGTATGTTGTATTATTTGGCCAGAAAAATAAAGATTTGGTCATATCATTGTATCAATTTATAAAACTCGATGAAACACTTTAACCACACTTTTTTTAGTTTGATAAATCAATAATTTTCGTTCATGACGTTGTTTCAATATTGAGTTTCTACATGATTTGATTATTATTATTATTATTACAAAATAAAATATTAAAATATTACAATTATTTTTAGCGCATTCATTTGGAAAAAGTGCCACATAATTAAAATGGACCAGTATCTTATTATCTGATCAAAATTACGTTTATATTGCCTGTAAATCAAACATTTATTTTTAAAAAATCTTCTTCTGCAACCAAAAGTTTGTGTGCGTAGCAGAAGTGAATAATTCTTGTATTTAAGTACAATTTACATGATCTTCATTTAGACTGTTTCCTATTATCTCTTAATGAAAATTAAGTTATCATTATTAAAATTCATTCTATAAATCATGTTATTTTAATTTTATTATCTTGAAGCAAGAAAGTTTAAATTCATTTACATACAAACAAACTAAAAAATTAAGATCTGGAATGACTTTAAATTTTTTGAAGCATGGCAGGTTGTGAAATTTTGATCTCAGCATGAAGACTGCTGGCATGGAGATAAATGCAAAAAAAATCAACATCATATATTGAATCATTATTGGATAGTGTGTAAGATATTTCTGTAAACCAGTTATTGTAATGAATTTATGAAGAGGCTAGTCGGCATGTATTTTTAAAGCCTTCCACTTTAAGATCAACATTTTTTTATTTTTAATTCTTGTCGTTATGGTGATTATAAAGGTCTTGGAGAATTTGTAACCAACAAATTTATTTACAGTATTTCGATAGTTTTTGTTCATATACCTATCTGTATGTTATTATTATTCTTATTATTATTACTACTACGGAACCCTTCAGTTCATGTGGATGTCAGTTTCAATGATAACCATTACATTTTCAAAGAATTAAATTATTCATGAATTTTTTACATGTGTATACATGTATTTAGCAAGAGAGGAGTGGGGTTTATTGACCAAAACATCAAATCAAATGAAAGTATACATTTATTGTTTTTACATAGTTATAGAAAGCAGCATAAATGTAGTATGAATATATTGAAGACTTTCATTAATTTTCTAGGTTTTGAGTTGTAATCAGAATTTGAGTATAATCCTTGTTATGCACAAGAATGATTTTAACCATGTACACCGTCAATTAATTATATTTATGCATAATTTCAAATTTATTTAAATTCTGTAATACCTACATATTTTAAAAGAAATACTTTTCACATGCCAAATTTTTATTTAGAAATTATTCCACCTACAAACATCATAATTATCCTTGTGAGATTGAAATTATCCACATTAGAATTTGAAATTTACATCTAACCATGAGTACTCAGGTGGGGGTTAAAAAAAATACATATTTTGAGAAACAAAGTCTGATTATAGTCAAGAGTCCTATAATTGGTTAAATTTAAGTATTGTTTTAAAACTTATACTTTTACAAGTTTCTATTTACAAAAAGAATTCATAATAATAACTAATAATATAGAATGTCATCATTATTTATTTATTTGTATTTTAAGATAAATACTTATTATTTAAAAATTATGTCTTTTAATAATCTTGTACCTTGTCTTGTTTTTTTTAACCAGTAATGTATCATGTAATAGTTATACTTTGTGTATAAAGCTCTATTCCCATAGGTATTTTAAATATTATTTTGACTTACATCTATATATATATATATATATATATATTTATATATATAATGTGTTTATCATAATCTTAAGTAAAAAAAACCACATGTAATGTTGGAAATCTAGTTTTCTTTTATCAAAATTTAGCTGTGTTATTCTTCTCAACAATTTGTACCTGCCACTTGTAACATTTCTACACTAAGAATTCTTTAAGATAAAAGAAATATTTCAGCAGTTTTTGCCATAACTTCTCAAACATTTGTAAAAATACTTTGTTAGGGTGCATTTAATAAATAAAAACACACATGACTACACTATTTTTGTTATTCAGAAAATGAATGCATTGTGACTTATCTCATTGCTAGTGACCTCTTGGCTAACCTTTTGAAGTGTAATGCCAACTAAGAAAAAGCTTCTCAATTTCAACAAATCACAAACTTAGAAAATTGTAATCTCACTTTTTTCGGATACATAAAAAACCCTCTTTTACACCGTACAATGTAAGTTAAATTCTTAGCATCTTCAATTTGAGCAAGTTTGAAGGTCACCCACAAATAATGGAATCTACCAGCACAGATATTTTGGACACGGCAGCCACCAATGATACCTACCGCCGCTGATTGGCAAGGAACCATACCACGGTACCAACGGCCGTATCCTACGACCGAGCTTCCCTTCAAGTGGGAACGGGCTCGTCCCCCGAAGGCTGAGGGTAAGCCACGTCCTTGAATCCACACGGTGAATCCCTCAGTCCGACTTCAGTGAATTCCTACGACCGTGGGATCTCTCTTTGAAGATGCTACCAGAGAGATTCTGGTTGGTTGGTGCGAGTGGAACCGTGTTCCCTTGGTGCCATTGGGAACGCACTTTTTTCCTTTGAATGGAGGGCGTTCCCATGGTTCCCGATTCACTCAGGGAGGGATTTTGTGTCTCTCTCTATTTGGAGGCGGTGGGTGTTTTTTTTGTAGCTCCCTCCCCGTTGAGTCGTGGACGTGAGTGGTTGCGCTTGCAAGCTTTCATGGAGCGCGTGTCCAAAGCCCAGAATGGAATATGTGAGCGTGCTCTTCTTACGGTTATATGATTCAGTTGGAGGAAGTGTCGAACAGCGTAGGAATTTCTGTCCGGTGTCGGGTCTGGGAGAAATGCCGTGCTGTCAAGGTGTGAGGAGTGTGAGCTCCGATGGGTTTTCTGTCTAGTCGAATTGTGCTCGGACAGCTGCGTTGCGTAATGGCGGCGCCTGTAGAAATGCTAGACCGTGTCTTGAGCGCTGTTTTTTCAGTGTTTTGTGGTGTGTGTGGCTGTGGATATCTGTTCTGCTGCTGTCGCATTTGCAATCTGTAATTCTGCTCTGTTAGGTGTATTTTCCCCTCGCCCCTGCTGCTTTGTGCGAAATCCTCTAATCTTCACTGTATTCTGCGGTTAGATAGTGCCGTTTTGATGTTCTACTTCTGTTTTTTTTTCACTGGATTTCTTGGAGAATTTTAGTCTGTAAATAGAGACAGTTCAATTCATTTTGGGATTTATATCGTGCTTGCAGCATTATGAGAATTTTTTCATGTGTACCTGTTCAGATGAATTACACTAAACACCATAAACATAGCCTGGTAAGTAGTCACGAGACATTTGTGCTAGTAATCTATTTATGAATTTTGTATACTTTAATCGCAACATAGTTACGTATTTATTTATATCCTCAAATGTCATCGTGATTTCTAGCATTGATCAATGTTGCTGATTTTTCAATATTTTTCACAATGTAGGTTACACAAAAGCCACAAATATCTTTTTGACTACTTCAACAAAGAACCAGTGATTAATAATTTTTGGCTGGTTCTGAATTGTTTTAAATAATGGACAACCTGTTACTGAATAGTATTAGATGTTATTCTGGACATCACGAAATCCGACCTGTAGCGTGGAAGGAACGATCAAACCAGTGTAAACCTTTGCATGGTCTCGTGGGCTTTAGTCATCAGCGAAATCTGTGTATTTGTAAGACAATATCTAGTAGTCTTCTGCCCAAGAATATCATTGATAGACAATTTAAGAGCAGCAAATATTGTACTCCAAATTCTATAAAGCATGGTATCTTTTCATCAAAGCCATTATTACAGAAGCAAGCAAGGATCATAAGGATGGAGTTCCGCAGTGACAGTGGTAATGACTCCAAGACTACTCTTACAAGTGAAACCAAAACTCCTGGCTGGAGCTTTTTTGACGACTCAAGGTGCGACCTTTTTCCTCGTATTGGTGGGATTAGGTCATTTTAACGTGAACACTTCAAGGGGCTTTAGCCTTACTCTCAGTTCTGAATTGCTTTGTCTTGTCAGCAATATGTTCAAGGCAGATGATCTGGGCAAGGACATCGTCATGATTGCTCTACCAGCAGTGCTAGCATTGGCAGCTGATCCTATTGCGTCTTTGGTGGATACTGCATTCATTGGACAAATAGGTGAATTCAATTCTGGAGTGAGAGTTGTCAAATTGGAAATCAGGGAAAAAAAGTGATGATAGAGATTGTTGCCTCGCAACTCTCCTTGTGTTTTCAATCGATTTATACAGGTAGTATGGACTAGAATGACGGAGATATTCATGCTGGTTGCTTTGCTTGGTAGCATCCCTTGAATCGTGTACCATGTTTGGACTCATTACATGCAATCTCTTTTTTTTTCACTAGGCCCGGTGGAGCTGGCTGCTGTTGGTGTCTCTATATCAGTATTTAACCTAGTCTCCAAGGTATGCAACATTCCTTTGTTGAATGTTACAACGTCATTCGTGGCAGAGGATGCCTCGGAGGAGTCGTCTGGTGTTGACGATCTCACGAAGTTTCAGGAATCAGAGTCCACCCCATTGCTGAGTGCAAATCGTAAGATATTCATCATTATGTATATGACAGTCATGCAGTGTTCTGAGAGAGAGCGAGAGAGATAGAGAGTGAGTGCCGATAAAGCCATTACCCTCTTTTGTGGTCTAATCCTCCTTTCGTACCTTGATCACTTTGTCAAGTTGTCAATTTTTAATTCTCAAGTTGTTGAAACTGGTGTTATAAATTCTTTCTCTTAAAGCGAATAAGTAGCTTTGTTCCTTTGTTCGTGCCCAAATGACTTTGCAAGCTAGTTATTCCAGCATTAGTGAAGTTACCATCTGAAATTAATCTGTTGTTTTCTACATGTCAGGTAGTCAGGCTTCCAAACCTCGCCCTGTTGATATCTCGGAAGAACAGAAGCGCTTTCTTCCTGCAATTTCGTCTGCTTTGGTGCTCGGTATCGCCCTTGGAGTTGGAGAGGCATTCATATTGGCTTTCTTAGCGGGTCCTATTTTGAATGTTATGGGAGTTGGCGTGGTAAGGTAGCTTGTTTCTATCGATCTTGAATGACTACTATCAGAGATGCATACGATTTAACATTGTATGAAATATCCGCACATTGTCTCAACCTTGGCTCATGTCAAGTCATGGATTTTCGCTACGATTGTGAATTTTTGTACTTTCTGGGCTTATGTATTCTGACTACGCGTGCTTTCAGGAAAGCGTATATTCAATAATCTTGACTGTGTATGAAGAAATATGCAGCTATATTTTTGTTCATTTTCGCGTGCCCCAAGTCAATTAAGAGGATGTGTCTTCCTATCAATTGTTAGCATATTTTATCTTGGATAATTTAGCTGGCTGTGCTAGGCAGTTCAAGCTCCATTATATAATAGATCCTAACATAATGAACATTGAAGCAGGCATCCCCTATGCACACTCCAGCTTTAGAATATTTGGCTTTGCGTGGTCTTGGAGCACCTGCTGTGGTGGTGGCTCTTGCCATTCAAGGTGTTTTTCGCGGTTTCAAAGATACAAAGACCCCATTGTACGCTAGTAGTAAGTTGCTCTCCACGCAAGCAAATTCTATCATATTTAGTTGGTTCATTTTGACGCGCATAGTCGAGATTTTTATGTGTGCTCACAATATATTGTAAAATGGTTGCAGTCGCAGGGAGCTTTGTCAACGTTTTTTTGGATCCTGTTTTAATGTTCTCCCTCCATCTCGGTGTTGGTGGGGCTGCAGTTGCTACAGTAGTATCAGAGTAAGAGGGAAATCTTTGAGTTCGAACACGTCTACTTCACTAATAATTTTACTTAGAAAATTTGTTTTTTCTTTCCTTGTGTTTTGGAAAATAAACTTTCTATGTCTTGGCAGGTATTTTATTGCAAGTGTACTTTTGTGGAAATTGAAGCAGCGTGTTCTTCTATTTCCAAAACGGTGGGAAGACTTAAAATTCGGCCGTTTCTTGACATCTGGTGCGTTACCGACATTAATTACTAGAAACTTGCATTTTTGTCTAGCTTATGGGCGATTACGTAGCATCGTCTTTGATTTGCTAGCGAGCTATTTTGTTGTGGAGTAAATTAGTTTCTCTTGTGTTTTAATCGGTGTAGCGATGATAGCGTGATTTACTTCTAAGCTTGGCTTGTGACCGTTGCTATGAATCGACAGGTGGTTATTTGATCGGACGGACCATTTCGCTATTCGCAGTTTTCACGTTGGGTACTTCTATGGCTGCTAGGCAGGGAGCCATTCCCATGGCTGCTCACCAAATTTGTGTGCAGATTTGGCTAGCAGTATCACTTCTCTCAGATTCCTTAGCACTCGCTGGCCAGGTAAAGGGGTCTAGTCCGTTTCGTGCACTTGTAGATGATTGTGAGACAATTAAGATGATTGAACTTCTTATCGGTGATGGAGACGTCTCAATCTTTTGTTGTTATTGCACCTTGTCTTCTTTGGGGTTCGACATTCTATCCGAAAAAGGTGACTTGCTGGATTTTGGATATTATGACTACTATATTGCTCACTTGGTTTTGGCCTCAATTGTGGCTACTGGCATCTCAAATAGTGTGATAGGATTGTCACACGATTTGGACGCCAGGTTCGACAACGTAATAAAATTTGTTCTAACTTATTGGGGATATTTCTGGTGTGAATTTTCTAGGCTATCATTGCTGGTGCCTTTGCCAAAAACGATTATAAGCTTGTCAAGGAGGCTTCCATCCGAGTATTGCAGGTGCGTAGTGAAGTTTTTTTGCTTAGGCATGCATATATGCTTCGTGACTTGGTGCTGTTGATCATGGATGTCACTTGCGTCTGGAGGGTAGTGAAATGTACACAATTATTCCTAGCATCTCTTTGTGACCTAAGGTTAATCTATTTCCTGTCCACTGTAGTCAAGTCATTCGATTCCTAATAGGAATTTGCTAATGTTTATCTTGGTACCAAGTTGCCCTGAAAGGAGTTGATCAAGTTTCCTGATTGAGAAATCTTTTACCCGTAATTATGGAATGCAGATTGGACTTGGCCTTGGTGTTGTTTCGGGATTAGCCCTTGCAATTGGCATGCCTACTTTCACAAGCGTGTTTACGGATGACGAGACTGTGTTGTTTTACGTTGGGCTTCTTATCCCGGTATATCACCTTTTGCACTAATACACGAAGAGTAGATTACTACTGTACAACTTCCTATATTACTCAAGTGTGCCTTTTCAAGTAGGATCACATCTTGTTTCTTTAACTGTCGAAGCAAATGGTTGGTTTTTGAAAAGGAATGTTCTGATACTGCTGTTGTTGTGAATTGACAAGCATTATTTGAGGTTAGCTTAGTTTCGATAGCTTGCTTTGAGATTCATGTGTTAAGCATCTGATTTTCGATGTTACAGTTTGTTGTCGTAACACAACCAATCAACGCGCTGGCTTTTGTGTTCGATGGTCTTCATTATGGAGCTTCGGATTTTGAGTATGCGGCTGTCTCTATGGTAAGTGCTGTAAACCACAATCGTCTCCTAGTATGCAAGAAGGGTTCAGGAAAGTTTACTGCATTTAGCCGCCTATGACTGTAGAAATTGGTGGCTGTGTGAAGTTTATTCAAAATTTAAATAAGGACAATGTTCTAATGACTTGGACCTTTGTGTCGCCAGTGCAAACATCAGTGTAGAAGCAATACGAATTAAGTAAAAATTATTTATATATTACTTAGATAAGATATCCACGAATATCAAGATTTTTGACTTGGACAACTTTGTGCAGATGGCGATATCCGTACCCTCGATATCAGTCTTGTTACTTTTCCCAAATTATTGGGGTATTTCTGGAGTATGGGCCGGACTTACCACTGTCATGACCCTCCGCATGGTTGCTGGATTTTGGAGGTATATTATTTCCATTATAGAATCTCTTGAATGCGTCAATACTGTTTTGCGGTTGGGAATCATTTTGTATGTCCCAAAAACGTTCAGTACTTCTCATGTTCTGCTTGCATTGGACCTGTCACTCGAGCTGCTTGAAGGTCGATAGTTGTTTTTTTAGATAATGCGACAGCTTTTGAAAACTTCTAGCTTTGCATTGTATCTGTAAACTTTTAGGATCAATAATAATGCTGTTTAGTTCAAATCGGCTGTAGTTATGGTAACTTACGTGTCACTGTTTCACTACACCTACATCAAACTCCGAGCGTCAATATTGATGGGATCTGAAGGCTTCTAGAAACCACCCGAATTTGGTAGTATTTCATTATTTATGTTCATTGTGTGCAGGATGAAATCTACAACTGGGCCTTGGCGGTTTCTCAATGGCGAGACTTATGAGACAGAGGACGAGCTATGAGTACCTTCTCTTGGTTAATCAGAGCAGACAGTTCAATTTTACGATTTCACATATTAACATGAAATACTCTCTGTAATGCATGGAGGCGCGTCTAATATTATGTGTCTACACACATAGTCGCAGTAACTTTGCATCGCCTAAACAACACAAAGTGTACCAATTCTTCATTCAATCGCTTCTCAACAGCAGGTCCGAACATCAACACAAATTCCTAGGGCTTCTTTGAAGTCCCATACAAGCCGAAGTACTTGTAACTTCTCATGCTTCATAGAAACACTCGGGTGAGTTAAAGTTAACACATTCATCGTGTCAGAGGAGTACGTACCTTGTTCGAATTTCTTATCATCTAATTTTCTCAAACTTGGGGGCATCTACAGCAATATGCTACGGATTTAAATTCCAGATTTTAGATTCAGGAAGTTGATTATTGCAGATTTGTGGACATAGTAGTTTCACTTGAACATTATTTCTTCCCTCCATGAATTTTAGAACATGTATTACAGAATGCATGGTTCTTGGAAGGGTCAGTTTTATTTCCCCTATATTATATCAATAACAAGCTTCTGTATATTGCCTATATCTGAATGATTCCATAGTCCGTGTAAGGAAGTTAACTTGCCATGATGAAAGTAGTAATTCAGATTCCGAACGGTTCTTGTGAAGTTGGAAGATGGACATGTACTATTTTATATGTCATTGCTTACAATCTTGAGTATGTTGACATAGCTTCTAATATACACATAAATCTTTGATTGTTATATAAAAATTTAGAGTCAAAGTTATTTCTAAGCAAAATTTTAGAAATCAACTACTTTGATTATTTGGATTAGTTAACACTTTATAAAATCAAGAAAAACAATTTTAAATAGATTTTATGTAATGTGATCTTTTCTTGTACAATTTTAAAAAACTATACTTGTAACAAAATGCAAAAGTATTTAGACAATTTTATTGAGTTCTATATGTTTCAAATTAATTCTATCTTGGAATAGAGCAATTCTACAAAAGATCTTTTTGAATTAGACTTTATTAGCAAGATTTCATCCATTTGTGGTACTAGTCTTTGTTTTGCCTAATTAGATGTTTGCTTATTGCCTATACACAACAAGCAAGCAACATGTTAGTCAAAATCTATATTAGTATGAATAATACAAGATTAAATATCAAAGTTTGCATTTAGGAAATCTGGTGCCAGTGGCCATGGATTTTGGTAATGTTAAGCTAGTTTTGAGTTTGATTCTAACCTTAGGCATTGTAGACTATTTACTCTATATTTATGTTTTAACCCCTCCTTTCAATGCTTGATTGCTTCTTCTTAGTCCTTTGCCTTTGCCCTCCTTTGCCTCTTATTAAGGCCTCCTTGAGCCAGTTTTAATTTTTGTAGGTGAGTTGGCAAGCATACAGAAACTTTGTTTAAATTGCTCAAAAACTATTAATGGCTAAAAAAATTATCATAATTCCCTTCTAGAGATTGTTTGACTATTGCTGTAATAGGAAAAAGTAAAGCAATTAATTATTCAACAAGATGTAGTAAAATTATTCATACAATTGGTCTTATTTGTCTCTTGCTCTTTCATAAACTCCTCTTGCATCCAATCTTGTAACCTTTTGTACACAATAAACTTAAACTTGCACAAGTTGCCACTCTTCAAACAAAATAAAAATTGTTTACCATTGTATAAATATGATAAGAATCACAGCATAAAAGGGTTGTTAAAATTTTCAATGAACTGTTCGAGTCTCTTTATTATGCAGCTTGATGAAGTTCGTAGGACCTGCAATCTGCACCACAAACACCCTTCTGGCTCTGTTGGGCTTCGCCTGGACATTCAAGGGTGGAAACTGAACGGAACATGGCGTGTCGGAGAAGGTAACGGAGAGTTAGGACTCGATCTGGTTTCTGTTAGTAGGATCCATGGTATTAGAAGCTACGTAGATCCAGATGCATAGCAAAGAATCTGTAGACGGTCCCGAGAACTGCCATTTCAATACGCAGGAAAGGACGTGGAATGCTCTGGCTGGCTGTGCTGCTTGTCACTAGAAGGATGTACTTGAAGGATCCTCCGTTGGGCTCCATCCCCAGCTCCGTCATCTAGCCAATAAGGGCTCCTGTTGAGAATGACGGACTACGTACAGGTGACTTGCTTCAACATTCGTGAACTTCATGTACTCTAATCTACTCTGGTATTCACCTAGTATCTATGAATAAGCATAATTAGTGTATGAGAAAGCACTCAGATTTTACACACTATGAGCAGCAGCATATTGCTTTGCTCATTCGTCATCAACACCAACAAGCCTAAGGTTGTGGGCTACTAATCGGACTCGGTCGAACATACTTCATGGTTCAAGCTCCATTAGACACTTTGAATCTCCGACAAACAAGCATTCGCTAACTACTTTTGAAGGTTTAATTACAAAATCATTCCCCTACTTGTCAATCCCAACTTCAACCTCGCACAAAATACCTGGAAACAGGCAACTGAAGTTTATTCACAACCCACTTCTGGCCTCTCGTTCCCTCCAATACCCCTTATCATACACACCGCTGCTCTCCCGGCGGTCCTAAAATTAACAACAGCTAGAGGCCAACACAAACCTCTCAAAACTGCAGTAAAAGACATCTTCTGCACATGATCGGCCGCACCAAATAAACAAAAATTGTGCTTGCTAACGAAAACTACCACCGATCATTAGTGTGGTGGCCTCATGCTTTAACATCCTTCAATCACTGCATTTATATCATAAGGCTTTCAATTATATGAGCACATAGTAACGTCATCAACTTACAGAGAAGCGTACCGACATCGGTGAAGACTAACGAGCTTGGGGGCTTGGGGGTTACGAGTTTGTAGCATTTGCTGCGTAAAACTTTTGAATTGGTGAAATCGCTGAATTGCTGGCAAATTTACCCGACAGATTTTATCTTAAATTTGAAAGCTTGAAGTTCCATGGGGCTGAGATCGAGAAGCCCCTCAGAGCGCCCTACAAATGCTCCCCCAAGACCAAGCTTCCGATGGGCTGCATCTTTTTGCAGTGTGACTTCCCGACCATCAGTATGAACAAAGGACAGGGAGCTTTTGCGTAGCTTTGTGATGTCAATCTGTGGGGAGAAGAGAGTAAAGACGTCGAAGCCTTGCTTCTCCATGGTACTACACGTAATGGAGTCACTCATTGGGTAGCTAGAGTCCACACCACGGCGATGGAATAGGACGCCATGGGTGTAATCCTCGCCTGGAGAAGCCTGAGACGGCCGCAGGGTCTTCATGGCGACGATGTGCAGGTCGCAAGGGAGGCTGTTTCGCAGTGGTGCGAAACTCGTATCCATGTCATTGTTTAGCGTTGTTGCTTGAATGCTAGTAAACGGCTGCGGAGTGTCGAAAAACAAGTGAGCCGGATAATTGAGCTGGTCATTCACGAGGTGCGAGAGAAGCGATGGCACCTTGGAATGAAAGTCAGAAGCTGGCGAACTAAAAGACGTGTTCCGCTCAACCAGTAACTGAAACACAACACGAGAGGGGCGGTTATCCATGATGCCCTGTCCGAGGCCCCGGCTATCGTCGTGTATCAATCTCCTGTCCAGCATGATTTCAAGCTCACCTTTGTGCAGGCTCGCCACTCCCAAAGCCTGCCGGCTGTGGATTGAGAAGCGTCTTCCTCCAGGGCATTGCAAGAAGGCCAACGATGGCATAGGGTAGTAGTTCCCTTGCAAAGGTATCTTACTATACGTCTCCCGCCGCATAGTTTGAAATCCATTCAAGTCAGTGTAAAAGATGCGCTTGTTGTTGAGGTCTGTCTTAAATCTAGTTATCAATTCCCGATCATTGAATTCATTCCTAGCAAAATCCACGTAGTATTCAAACTCAGCCGAAGCAGCTTGGATAGTCTTCCCAGCATAGAGGCGCGCTGACCGTACCAGCGGTGCAAGCGTGTTGAACTTCGGCACTGAATGCACTTCCTCCACTAGTGGCCCTTTCGAAACGAGCACGAGACCACCCGATTGCACAAGGGGAGCGGCTTCTCCTTGAGGGCGGAACAAATACGCTCCGCTTCCTTGACTAGTGTACATGGCAATCTCCTCTTCAACGGGCAACTCATTTCCATTCGAGCTCTTATGACTCATCAATAGCCCTGTCTGAGTGGAGAAAACGAGACTCTGTTGTGAGGAGCTGATTGAGACTCGCTCATGGCCGCCAGGGTGATACGTGCACAGATAAGGGTCTGGACACATGAAATCTCTGGGTTCGTTGAACACAGAAACACTTGATAAAGAAGCTGTGTCGCAGTTGTCAGTGTCCGCAGTGATGAGGTACGTAGCCAATCCCAAGGGCGATACCGTAACGGGGAAGTGCAGCCGATGATTCTTCGACGTGAAGGAGGCGGTGATACCTGCGCCCCAGTCTGGGCTTAACTGGCTTTGAACAGGCTTGCCCAAGGAATCGAAAACACATACTGCAGGATTGTCTACCATAACCATGGCCACCTGCGCATTAAACTTGTACATCAGACTTCAAGGTAAAGTGTTGTTGAAATGTTTGATATTTTGAACGCAAGAGAACACTGCTGAAACATTAGCTTGCTTCCATGAATGGACAGGAAAAATTTCCATTGATCAAGCTTGGCGATTGACATAACTGAGATTTCAAAAAGATTTTACTAGTGAGCTTGACCATAGAAAAAAAAGCACTATAGGCTGTTAATAGCTCACCTGCTGAAGTGTTTCCTCCAGAGGATTATAGAACACAACGCGTTGAACTTTGAAGTTCTTGATCTCCACCACTTTACTCACTGGCAACATGTCATAGCTTTTTCTCAGCTCTACAGACTCGAATAAGTGAGGCGTCGAGCGAACCTTTTGGCCAAGTATTTCTCCGACACTGGCAGCCATTAAGCTTTCCAGCTCTACAATGCCATCGTGCATTTTGTTGGCATAGTCAACAACCACATGGTCTTTGGCCGTGCCTGTGACCCCATCGTGGTGCTGAAACAGGGCCAAGTTTCGTCGTTGCCGCTCAAGCACATCGCCAGACAAAGTTGCGATCTCATTCCCATGAAAGGCCCTAGCGAGCATGAAGAGGGTATCAGCCGCCCGAAGAGTTTGCTCAAGAACCCTATCCACTGCTTTATAGAACGGCCTGGTCACATAATAGCCGCTCCAGTAGTCTTGATGAATGTCTGCATATGTGAAAAAATCACCAGCAAGAGATGGAAACCCAGGTACACTCAAAGGACTATTTGAGAACTCTTTCGTAGTAGTTTTTTTGGTGGCTTCCTGCCTCAATGTGCTGAAATAGTCTTCGAGGGTTCCAAACTTCAGCTCAGCTTTGAGATTAGGATGACTATTAACGTAATCAAAAATCTTTTGATAGTTCTCATATGCAAGGTCAGCTTCTGCCATCTCAATGTACCGAAAGTCGTCACCCAAGGGCACAAGAAGAGTGTTTGAACGGTACAGAACCGATTTTTTCCGGTATTGGTCCAACAAAAGCTCTGCCCGTTCCTTCACATTCTCGTCGGTGATAGTTTGTGGTTGCTTGTTCCACGGACAGTACCCTGCCCTTCCGGGGGACCGCCAATAATCAAACTGGCAGCAAACGCCTGGCTCGGGACCACAAGTATGGGGAATATCGTAGGAGTAGAAAGGCATCATATGACAGAAAATGTCGGTTGAGTTGTCAAAGTCCCAGCTTTGGCGCCAGTTAAACTCAAGATTTTTGTTCCACGCCAGCTCTTTCTTCACTTCGTAGTGTGTTCTTTGAATTAGCATGTTGTGGAAACCCATTCGCCGGAGGAGGTACGCCATTGTCGGTGAATGACCAAACGGATCAATTGCCCACGAATTCTTTGGCGCCACCCCCACATTGTCCAGAAGCCAAAGATTACCAGCTGTCATCTGGAACCAACATGCACACTTTACTTCACAATCAAAAGATCCAGTGAATATAATAAGATAAAAACAATCACGTTTTGCTTCAAAAATACACATTATGCTAAATGATTGCAATAAGAACTCGCGAAAATCGAGGAATCTTAGCATTGTCAAAGAGTAGCAGCGCTAACTTGGTCAATGTCGAAACGATCACCTGCTCAATAATTGCGAAATAATGCGAATTGGCTTCATCATTCATCACCCAACCACCGCCCACAATCTCCAGTTGCCCGGACTTGACCAAGCGTTTGAGATCTTCTTTTGATTGTGGCGTAGCGTCTCGCCACCATCTCTCAAGATATGACATTTCTTCCCAGATAAATTTCCTGCGCGGATCCTGAAAAACAGCACGGCATTGTCTAATGCTGTACCCACTGTTCGGAAACACAAAACAAAAATTCTGTACGTATGCACATGGTATACTAATGCAGGATCGAAGTGGTTTACTCCAGCCAGAAGTTCATCAATCATCTAAAAATACTTAAAACTCTCGCAGGAGACTATCCTAAGCAGCGCAAGGGAGACAGGATTTATGATAGATGATATACAAAAGTAATTAGTTCCAATGGAAGGCAATGTGCAAGCTTCAAATACTTTCACAACCAATGCTATATACTCTAAAGCATGTAATCAGTATCAAATCGAACTACCGTTCACCCTACCCTCATTCTCCCTCGTATGGAACGAAGACACAGTTTTCAATTTGGTGCAGTTTCTTAGACAAACCAACAATCAAAGCCATGGTTCAGAGAGAAACGCTAACAAGAAAAGAAGGAACGAATTTGACAAATACCAATACATCACTGGGGTTCAAATTGCCGTCGTAACAACGGAAGCCCGCAATGCCAAAAACTTTCCTATGTCCAAAAAAATGAAACAAAGAAGAAGACGAACCTTGAGCAAAGACGCAACAACGGTATCCAAGATGTGGCGAGTGCGCTCCTGATAATATTCCTCCACGGTGCGAATCCACCCGGGGTCATTATGCGAATGCGGCACAACAAACACCTTGAGCTTCTCCTCATCCCATTCGGGGCCATCGTAACGGACGTCCCAGCCCTGCTTCCACGCCCCACCATCGCGATCGTCGAACGCAATCCTATCATACAAGGCCTTCATGGTGATATCCACCACAGCCTCCCCAACGTGCGCCGACGACCCATTCCTCTTACCCTCAAACACCTTCTTCCGCAACTGCGACTCCAAAATGCTAGACAAATTCTGACCTGGGTTCTTCCTCGTGGCCTTCGAAATCGACGTCACGATGAACCCACCTTGGAATAGAAACAGGAACGTGAACACTACCGACGCGAGCGTGAGATAAGTCCGAGGGCGCACAAACCAACTCCAACTAAACATTGGCGGAGATTTCCCGGCGCTTCGTCGCTTAGAACCTTTGCGGTTTGAGCCAGGCAGTGACGAAGAATACGTCGGCAGGCTCCTGCCATAGCCCCCCGCCATCGCTGCAACCAATTCTATGCAGCTTTACGGTTTAGATCTGTACAGTTTTTAATTCGGTTCCGCTCTCAACTCCTCCCCTCGACGACAACATCATCCCGCGTTTACCCGAGCTCCCGGAGCTTGGCCGACGACGGAGGAGAGAGCCCCTTTAAGGGTTGGTTCCCTTGGAATGGTTCCCCTGTTCCCCTGTTCCAGGAACCCTGCCATTCCATTGGGAACTTTGCGAACGCTCGTCTCACCCTTGGTCTTCCACTCTTTCCGATTACTGTATAATGAAGATGATTTTTGTGCACCATTGTTTAATGCTCGTGATTCCATCACATGACTTTTCTTTTTCTTTCACTATTTCTTATTTTTTCTATTCCAGACTTTGGGAATTGATTCTTGGTGGCCCATTAAAAGATTCATTTAAGAGTCCGTTATAATGTAATTCAAAATTGTTGGTGTAGAATAGTTTTGGTGCTACTCTTAAGGAGTGATAAGGAATGCTAAGGAGTGCTAAGTGCTAAGGAATGTTGGAGAGATAAAAGTTTGGATCTTAATGGTGTGATTTCAACCATGTTTGATGCACTTGTGAGTAGGGTGTATGAACCCTTTGTCAAAAGAGGTTCAAAGTAACTTTGAACCAAAATAACTTTACAATCCATACATATAGTGTCAAGGACAAGAACTTGATGAGATTAAATAAACAAGTGCGACTTTTTTCAAAAAAAGATGACAAAATAATATATTAAAAAAATAAAATATGTATATTAAAAATAAACTAGAATGGCTATTATCAAAAACAAGAGAACTAGAGATCCTTGAAGCTAGACTAGAAATAAGAAAAGAGTTGACAAGAGTGAAGAAGGCTTCACTCTTGCTTCTATATATATTATTTAATTAGGAGCTCTGTGGCAATGTTCTACAAGACCTCCAACATGTGTCAAATTTGCAAGACATGTGTCTTAACTTGTAAGACAAGTTTTGTATATGTGTGCCACATGGTTAGCTTATACCACAAGCTATCAATATGTGTAATATGTGCCTAATTTGTTGGCCAAGTATCCAACGTATCAATCATCTATAGACATGTTTAAAGGTGAAATCATGTTTATAAAGCTTTTAAGAAGCTTTTCTACAAGATATTATCAAATTATTATATTTTTACCTACTTCTATCTATTTATATTATCTAGGTAATTATTAAAATAAATATATATGTCCTTAACACACAGATGTTTAAGATAACTATATATTAATATGATGAAATTGTTTTATTATCTTAAGCAAGCATAAAATCAATTTTAAATCTTTAAAAAGATTAATTGAAATATTATATTGAATACTAAAAACTTTAATGAGACAAACAATAACATAAAAATAACATATTTATATCAGTTATATATTAATAAATTCAAAAATTGAAAGATTATTTGATAGAAAAGAAAAAATATATATTTAAAAATAATAATATTTAAATTTTATATATTAATTTTAAAATTTTCTAAATAGATACCTATAATTTATTATATAAAAAACCTCTATGATATTTTTTTTAATTTATTAAAATTATTTTTCAAAAATAATAAATTTTTTATCTTTTTAATCATTTATTAAGTTGATTGTATGATTTTATGGTTTATTTTTCTCTAATATGGATCATACATCTATATTTTAAAATGTACTATCAATCATTCATGTACATAAATAAGTTATTAATTTTTTTAATATGTTTTTATATTTTTTTTGAATAATAATAATATAATCATCAAAAAATATTTCTATTAAAGAATATTCAAGTAAGAATAATATTATTGTATATATGTGCAGGTGCATGGTACAAAAAGGTATCCATGCAATAAAAAAAAAATGTTAATCTAATGGTTCTTTTTATTATATATAACAAAGAATTTATTATATGTTACTTATGTGGTTGTAGTTAAATATTTTGTCTACTACTATAATTTGAAATGTATAAAAACATTTATTAGATTTTTATTTTAAAATATTTAAAATAAAATTTAATAAATTTTAAAATTTTATTATAATAATAAATTAATTAAGATAATTATAATTATTATGTGGTATAATTAATTTACTTTTAAATAACCTAATTTATTGCAAGATTAGTTAGCCTTAATGTTATGACAATAAATACATAGTTTATGATATATATATATATATATATATATATATATATATATATTTGCATATACTTATTAAAATAATTTTAATCATATTTTTTTTGTTGTCTATTTTTATTTATTTATTTATTTTTTACTTTTTAAATATATTTTTTGAAATAATAAAATATCAAATTATAGATAATAAATATAATTAATACAAAAAAATAATTTGTAAGTAGAGAATTATATTCAATGCTTATTTTAAAACTCTACTAATAACAATAAAAATGCTTAATTATTTTAGTCATAATTTGATGATATATTACATATATTAATTAAATATTTGAGTTAATTATTATTATTGATAATTTTTTTAAGAATAAAAAACTAAAGATAAATTAAATTAAAATTTTAAAATATTAGAAATAATTATTTAAAATCTTTTCATAAATTTAAATCATTAATTAAATATAAGAGTTATTAATTTGTTAAAGAATTAATTTTTATTATCAAAAATGATAATATCATAAGATTGATCAATTTTTTTAATAATGTTTTATATTTGAAACCACCTAATTTTCTATTTTTATATCCAAAATATTATGGTAATAAGAAGTGATATTGTACTTGAAGTACTTATAATTGTATTTGATCTTTTGAAGTATATAAGAATCTTTTATAATAAAAGAGATTATTTAAATCATTTTTAAAATTATTATTAATATTTATATGCTTTATAATTTTGACAACTTGCAATTGATGTCATGTAGAATAGTACTACACTAATTAACCAACTTCTCTACAGATTACAATATGAACAAAGACATTGATGGTGAATTTATTTAATCTTTAAACATTAAATAAAGGAATTGACTTTTATTTCATATTATTAATAAAAAAAACTATTCTTTGAAATTAGAGCAATTACATCTTTAAGTCACAAAGCTAAAAATTCTAATTAATAATTTTATATAATTTATAGTACTAATCTTGAAATTAGATAATTTTGAGGTTAAAGTTCAATTACCAATTGAACTTGATTGATAATCCTCAAAACTTTGATCTTATGCCATTAAACTTTTCAAGCAAGGCAAGTCTTAGTTCTCTAATGCTTGAATAATATTCAATTATAAAAAAAAGTAACATGATTTAGTGTAGATGTTGAAGCAGCTCCAAAGTTTTCTATATCTTTATTTCTTGCCAATCTTGTTATTCTTTGTGGTAGTAAATTGAGTTGATGCATTGCAAGTATTAACTCTTTCATTTTCTCTTGCATTTGTGACATTGCATACTTCATTTCAATAAGCTCTACCATGATAATAGAATAAAAAAGAAGATGTTTAATATTACTCAAAATAAGTAAAAGAGAGGGCTTGAGAACAAAAAAAATTCTAAGAATAATATCAGTTTAAAAGTGGATAATCTACGATTTATAATATGCTAATGTCTTATAAAAAAGAAGAAGTAATTCACTTTTAATCAAGAAAAGACAAAGCTTTGATATTATAAGTGTATTTTTATAAAATTTATCAAAGACAAGAACTTGAAGAATGTAAATAAACAAGAAAGACATTATTCATAGAAAGTTAATATATATATATATATTAAAAGAAATTAGAATAATTATTGCAAAAGACAAAAAAAACTAAAAATTCTTGAAACCAGACTAGAAACAAGAAAAAAATTGATAAAAATGAAAAAGGCCTTATTCTTATTTCTATATAAATTATCTAACTAAGAGCTACTTGACAACGTTCTATAAAATCTTCAATACATATCCAACTTGTAAGACATATATTTAATTTAAAAGATAAGCTTCCTATATAGATGCCACATGTTCAATTTGTACCACAAGTGGCCAACATGTGTTACATGTGGCCCACTTGTTGGCCAAGTTTTCAATCTATCAATCACATGTAGATACATATAAAAGCAAAGTTGCATCTATAAAGCTTTTAAGAAGCTTTTCCATAAGATATTATTATGAGTAATTATTGAAACAATTATATATGTCTATGATAAGTAATAGTCTAGTGTTGTATTATGTAAATTTTATAGCAAGAATGACTAGGCATTTGATTGTAAAAAAGATTTAATTTACCTTAAAATTCTTTTTGCATTCAAAAAGAATATATGAGGTATTTAAAATCACTCTTCATAGCAAACATAGGCCTTTTAGTATCTATCTTCATGCCAATCAATTTTTATTAATCAATCAATCAATCAATCAATATTCCTAAATGACCTTACTTAAATAATTTTTAAGGTGATTTTTATATCTTTTACTTATTTTAAGAATAGTTGAATTTGTTTCTTCTTCAATCATGTAATAAAAATCACAAAACATGGTAACATTATTATAAATAGAACACAATTTATTAATTTACAGAGAATAGCTCAATTCTAATTCTATTTTCATGGATAACACACCCTGGCTGCATTCATCTATGGTTCGTGTATGGAAAAGATTACTCACCTGATGATAACTTGAATGACATCTCCTAATGACTATATTGAAAGAGAAGTAGTGGGTGCTTGAAAAGAAAAGCACAACAAATGAATGCTTACTACTGAATGGAGCTAGTTTGAGAGTTTTGAGGGTCATCAAATTGGTAAAGATAGCCAGCAAAACGTCGTCAACGTAATGATCCTACTATGCACTGATTTGAAGTCATTCATTTACATTAGAAAACTATCATATTATCTGGTTTATTCTTCATGTTATTATTCATCTTCATTTCTTCATGCACCTTCATGGCTTCTGGTTTAGAAGCTCACTTTTGGGTTCAGAAATCTTAATCCACAATGGTTTCGACTAGGCAGGACGACAGTTACCTCGCTTCTTGACTTCGTACGAAATGTGATGCTAAGTTATAAAAACTGTACACTCCGAATACTCCATCTGGTTGTATTGAATTTTAGTTTGATGTCGTATTGCACTGCTAGATATTAGCAATATAGTGTAGAGGTGCTGGTCAGAATTGTGCGTTGTGGATTGAAGAAGAGCTTTTGTGGCGTCTTCTAGACCTGCTCTAAACAATTACCAGGAGCAAGACCCAAGCGGTGCCTGCCACTGTCTGCCCTTGTAAAATTTCAATGCACATGAATATGCCACAGAATATGAAGCTCATTAGCCATCATGTTTACAATCGATCAACATTTACTACGTTGAGTGTATTTCAAATGCATGTTTGTAGTAACAAGCCATGTTATTGTCGCAGCTTTCACGCTCATTTCAACTAGGTATTTTCCTCTCAACACAACACCTTTGTTCAAAAAATGGCTGCCAGCATCGAATGCATTTCAGTGTGCTGACCTTAAGTTTGCATGATCCATTAGCATGAGCTCCGTAGTGCAGCTGTAAGTATATTCTGTTTGTCAAGGTTTCACATGGAGAGTCTGAAATTTCCTTTCACGAAAACTGGCAGTAACATGGTGAGACCCATGCCTCGGATCTTCCACATCGCTCCACACAACCATCAACATCTATGCTGTCGAATGTGAGAATGAGACCATAGTAATTATCGTAAGACGAGATGTGTAGGAGATTTAAATCTGGAATGTTGAACTCTTGGCAGCCCCATCGGCATGTTTGCTATTCCCCGTTCCAGCCATTTCCCTCTGCACGGAGAAGTAACTTCTTCACGAGCTACCCGTTTTAAAACTCTCACGCGCAAGCTATTGTGCATAGATGTGTAAGTTCATCTGCGTACACTCCCTTAGTGAGTTCTTTCTCCAAGCATTTGCAGGCATATAACATGGAGACGAATTGGACAAAGGAGGTGCGACAGACTGAGTGTTGATGCAAGTATTTGAGTTCACCTTGTAGATCGCTATGATTTCGAGACAACAGGTACTCTTTCTGGCAGGCGCGGCTTGCTAGCAGCTTGGGTATCCAGTTTTTAGATCCTCACATAGTGCTTATCGACCTCAAAGGAAACCTCTAGGACATCCTCCTCATGAATGCACCCAAGTCGCGGACGCCAGGGACAACTCGTGGCCCGCAGCTGTAGTGGCGACCTTGACAACAGATTAACATCAAATCGTCCTCCGCTGTACAAATTCAATACCGGAGAAACCTTGCTCGTAAAACCACTTCGACGGAGCTTACTCTTCAAAGACCATGACGGCGACTGTAGACCTCCAATTTTGTGCTGAGGATCATAGAATATCACAGATGAGTTGCTGGTTGGATTCTGAATATGCCTGAGGGTTCTGTGCGGGGTCTCTTTTGCCACTATGGTAGAGTTTTGATGTTGGTAACATCTACAAGACTGGGGTGAGAACCCAGTTGGGAAAAGTCTAGGCAGTGGAAACAGAAAATAGATGCATCCGCTCTGAAGTTCTGCATCCAGAGGCAGCATTTGGTTGCTGCGCCACCTGGAATAGCTATTGAGCTCACGTTGGCATAGAAAGTGGTGAGGATAGCAATAAAGCACTTCTTCCACCGTTGTATGCGGAGAGAAGTAGAGCACCTGGCCGCCCTCGTAAATTACTTGTACTGAGTGAACCCCACAAACCCTCCTGCACAGCCAGTTCATGCTCTCAAATCTTGCTCTTGTCTCCAAAGCTCTTGATAGATTTAAGTTTAGCAAGCACGCTGTCTAACTCGCATGCAGAGCCTGCAAGGCAGACTGAGGATCAGATTAAGGTGACGGAAAGAACAAATTAATAATGCATTAACAGCAAGTTGCTGATGTAAAGCATCAAATTGCCTACCAATCACCAAAACTTGGATCTAGAATTGGACTCGGAATTGGGTTCAACAAAGAGGATTCTGGACAACATCCAGACAAGCATCGATCAGGATCGTGCATATTAACTGCCGAACAGAGATGCAGGATCGAGTCACTTGAAACCACACGTAGCATGCACAAATCTGAATGCAGCGTTCAAGACAAGTTCCTGGTGGCTGGACACACATAGTAAAGAAACTTGTGCACAACCATGAACGACCCATAATGAGCAGCTGGAGGAACAGAGAGATTTCTAAATGTCAGATGTGAAGGAGAGGTGTTGCACCTGCAAAGTCTTAATGCTTCCTTATCAGGCGTAATGGTTACGTTCAACCACGAAACCAATCTTGACAGGGAAACTAAAATGTGAAGTATCAACAACTAATTAGCCAAGATTTTTGGGGTGAGGTATATGTGTATTACTAGCAGCCCGACCTGTTCGACAGAATGCCGACGACAAGGGGCCGAAGATCCTTCTTGAAAACGAAGGCCTTTAACATTGATGACAGCTGCTATTTAGCAAGTTAGATAGGACCTAAGGTTTAATCAGACGCATATATCTAACAAGGGTCTTAATGAGATGAAGTCCCAGTTGCCAATTTCAAGTTCCAGTTCCCCGAAAGTGAGAGATGGATGGGCAAGACCTGGTAACAAAGAGACAGAGATTCAGCTCAGAGAGCTTGGTTTAGAACATTTTGTGAACCGAACCTTAGCCCAGCAGTCTCATGAAAAACGCACTCTAATAAAGATGTGCCATCCGCAGACTTGCACACATAATGTGTGCATCTGATTGCAACAGTCTTCACGTTAACGAGGTACTAAGATCCACAAACGAAGATCAGCAGACGTGGCAAACACCACTGGACACGACTCCAACTATACATCAAGTCAGACGACAGTGACGTTAGATAGGCAGATATAGCGGTAAATTGGTGTAGCAAGGAGATGCCTATTACTCTTCAGCACGATTAATCTGACGAATCAAATGTTTGTGTTTGTAACAAAGACCTCATTCATATCACATTTTTAGACTTGAAGTCTACAACTCCGTAGCACCTCTGGGTGTCCAGAAGGATCAGAAATGTACATAAATACTCTCCAGATAACCTAAATACTCCATCGCCAAAGCTTTGATTAAAGCGATTCACAATCAGGCATCCAAGTAGCAGCAGCAAAGTCTGTTATATAAATATATTTGTAAGAGCCAGAACAACAGGCGGTTCTTCAAATACCTTATTTATTTTCTTCATTTATTGCATTCAAATGTTTTGTTGCAAACAACAATAGTCATGCATTGAATGTGGGTGTGTTAAATTTCATAGAAGTGAATGTGTTCAATTTTGTCAATGTGTTGAATCTGTCTCTACAAGGTTTGCCCAGGAATTTCTAATCAAATGTTTGTGTTTGTAACAAAGGTTCAGAAATTGAAGATCTACCTATTTAAGATCCAAAACCTATAATAAAAATAAAATAGAGTTGTCTGTGCGGGCTCTACAAAGCTCCTTCACAATTTACCATGAGCAACATCTTGAAGCAGATTGATAGTATTTAAGATTCAAAACCTATATTAAAAATAAAAAAGAGTTGTATGTGCAGGCTCTACAAAGCTCCTTCACAATTTACCATGAGCAACATCTTGAAGCAGATTGAAAGTTTTGAGATCATGCAAATAATGCAACTTTTACTAAAGATAGAACACATTGTTTGCTTCCTTGATGTTGACAAGGCACTAACAAATTGGATTCTTCAATGACACGCAAGAAAAGTGGCAATGATTAAAGAACTAATAATAAAAAAGAAAAAGAAAAAGAAAAAAAACACCATCAACTTGCCAAATATTTTGACACCAACAAGAAAAAAAAAAATATCCTTGAAGTTTGAAAGGAATGGCTTTATTGCTTCTAAAAGTGGTTCTTATTCAAATCATTTAAGTAATTTTAAGAATGCATGTCAGTTGATATGCAATTTTTTGTCTCATTGCTTCTTACTTTGATTGAAAGGTTCACGCATATGCTCTAAAAGATATATTTAATATGAAAAAAATAGACTTTTATTTTTGGATAGCAATTGATTGCATGATTATATAAGAATAAAGTTAGAAAATAAAGAAAGACTAAGCTTGGATTATAATTACATTTACAATAAATATAAATGGAAGTGAAAAACTAAAAATTTGTATCATTAAGAATGCAATAAAGCCTTATTCTTTTGATTAAAAGTCATGCAAAGAATTAGGATTTTATTATTAAAATAATAAAAAGACATGGATGACTAAGTTATTATTTTGCACATGGTTTGAAGATTTAAAAAAATAAATAAAAGCTATAAATCAATATATTCTACTTCTCTTTGATGATGTATTGTCCCATGGACAAGTAATAGAATCTTAAGTACATTGAGGTAGCAATGCTTCTTTCTAAATGTATATGTCATTATCAAGCAGTAATTTTTAGATATTTTATTTACAAACCACAATTTACAAAGACAAGCAAGGAAAGTGGATATTTTACACAATTGATTAATTAACATTGATGCATTTGATGAAAGTTGCTTGCATTAATAATTGCAAATTATTTTTAGCATACAAAGTTGTTTGTTAGCTGCTTTAAAGAATTCCAATGTGACAAAAGTGAAGATATCATTAATAATAAAATTTTAAATAGTATTTAATAACTATATGTTTGTAACTCAATGTCTACAAAAGTTCTTTTCAATCTTGTTGCAAAAGCTCTAATAGAATATGAATAATTTTACAATAATGAGTTGTTGGCAAGTTTTGCAAGTGAAGAAGTTAAAGATGAAGATGAAGATTTGGAAGTTGAATTTAAGCAGGAAGTGCTAAAAAAATGAAAAGTTTTTTTTCCTTCTATGTTGTGATCAAATTTGTCAATGTATATGGTGTTGAAAGGTCTTATATACAAGTTATGTGTCTTTTATTTCTTACATATGGTATTAGGTATTTTCCTATAATTAAATTATTTATGCATTATATATAGGATATTGTGGCAAAATATTTTAAATTAAAGAAGTTGTATTTGTTTAATATAATAAATACTTTAGCATTTAGCACCATATCAAATTTGAATGAATGAACAAGTAGAAGTAGAAAGAAGGGTTGTGCAATAATAGTATTTAAAATGACAAGTGTGAGTAATTTTAGATCTTTGAACAATGTATATTTGATTGGCACTTTGTGGTTGTATAGATGGATAAAGAATTCACAATTAAGATGAATATGACATAGAAGAAATGTATTAGTAGAGATTTGAAAGTCTTTTTGAAATTATTTTGTTGTAGAGATGCAAGAATAATCATCTGTAAGTATGCTTATTAAAGCTACAATAGCTACAACAATTCCATATATTGTAGTAGGATACTTTTATGTCATTCATATTGTTGTGTAATGTAAAAATCAACCTTAGAATATACTTGGCATTTGGTCGAGGAAGAATTTGATCTCTCCGTGAAGTTGAATTTACAATCTAAAAAATAATTTATAATGTATTTAGAAATACTTCTTTGGATATCTTAAAGAATCTGAAAAATAAAAAATAAAAAATAAAAAAATCTTAGCATATCATAAGCAACTTCAAATAAATCTTAATAAATTCTTTATAAATCCTAATTAAATTCTTAAAAAATTACAAGAAATCTTAAAGAATCTTAAAGAAATTATAATAAAATCTCGATAAAATCTGTATAGAACCGTTATCAAATCTTAAGAAAATCTTAAGTAAATCCTAATAAATCTTATACAAAAAGTTAAAAACTTAATAATTTTTATTTTTAGATCATAATTTAAAATTCTTAAAATGTTGAGTTTATAAAAGAGCTATATTTAGGTAAACTTACATAATTTACTTAAATATAGCTCTTTTTTATCACACAAAAAAAAAGTCACATAAAATAATCCTAACTTTACAAAGCTCTCACAAAGTCATCATATTTCAAATCCATCAAAATTAATGCTCAAAAATACAATATTAAGTCTCCTCTCATATCTTCTTAATCCTAAAAATGTTGTATGTGTGTGGTTTTGTGCCTCAAGGTTTGATTTTGATCTTGGTTCATAATTGGTTCTCTTGGAGTATCAATCAATTTTTTAGGTATTTTTTGTTGAAAGTTATTCTTTACTTTTACCTAAAAATACTTGTAATGTTATTTTTGCTAATCTTTTTTTTTTTTTTTTTTTTTTTTTTTTTGTCTTGTTTACGGCTCTACTAAGTAAGTGTAAGTTTATTTTATTTTATCAAAAAGCAATATTAACACTAAATTATTTTTACTACCTTCTTAACTTTTATTTTTATCTCTAAAAATATCTCATATATTCTAAAATAAGCTCTTCTATAATATAATATAATTTATTTATTTATTTCACTCAATAGCCTTATTACAACACAATAATATTTTCAAGCAACTTTATTTTGATGCAACATTTGGCTTTAAAAGAACATTCCAAGTAGAATCCATGCTTTTAGGATATTATGTTATTATATTAAGTTACTACTATAGAATTGACTTCATGGGGGTAAGAAATATCATGAAATAGAGATTATTGGATTACTTAATATTGAGTTACTAAAGTATTATTATTTTCATATATATATATATATATATATATATATATCAAAAAGGTCTGATATGTATGCTTTTAATTTGATCTTTATTTTTTATTTTTTTTAAACAAATGTTAAATTATTTTTGAAACATTTAAACCTACATTTTCTATTCTTTGAAGCAAATCTTAAGAACAGCAAATGTGCAATATATATATATATATATATATATATATATTACCATACTTACATATTCATACACAAATATACTATCAAATCAATACAAATGAAATGCAAAAAACGACAAGAATATTATTAAAAAAAAAAAAAAAAAAAAAACACAGACAAAGGAGGGTCTTAAAAAGAATCCTATAAACAAGGTAAGAAAAATATACATAAACAACCAAAATATGTTTATATATATATATATATATAACTACCTCCAAAAGACAGAAGAATGTAACAACAGGCATAAGAGTGGAAAGATGGCTTAGAGATGACTGTAAAAGTGCACCATGCCTTTTCTTTGATATGAGGTAATTTATGATTTGTTTTTTTTAGAAAAACTTAAATGAGAAGACCAATTGAATTAGGCTAACCCTCTGCCCCTTAAAAATGAAATATATTTTTATAATCTTCTGTTGTAATCCTAGATGCCTGAATTCTTCAAGGGCAGCATCAAAGTAGCCTATGTTCATTCTAATTGGACTTGTCCATTCACTCCCATTTTCTTTTCACTACCCATTCCTCTCACTCTACCTCCCCAAATATTCTCAATACATACATACATACATACATACATACATTATTTATTGAATAGAGGAATGTTAAATATACCCAAGTTTTTACTGAATAGATCCATCCATCCTAATCATCATGAACAAAAAAATGACCTCTAGATTCATTTCTCCACAATTGGATCCGCAACCAATAAAAACCAATTACCATATTCTTCATCAAAAATGGGTGTATTTAGTAAAAGTGTGGGTCTGTTTAACAGTCCCATTTTTGTTTTTTATACCACAGTCTTTTCTGGAAAGTTAGATTGACTACTTTTGAAATAGGAAAGTAATCAGACCACTACTAAACTTTATGGAAATATTCTCCGACCCCAAACCCTATTCCCCTGCAGTGAAGGCCAAAGCCACAAGTGGAATGGTCTAGATCTTGAAATCCTAAAATTCTTCCAAGCATTTTGTCATCTCCACTGTCAACGTTGCTGTCGTAGCCACCCTCACGCTCCGTGTGTCGTCTCGGTCGCTCTCGCTACTTCCAACGCCACCATGCAGAACGAGGAAGGAGAGAACGTCGATCTCTACATTCCCAGGAAGTGGTAAGCTTGCATACTTTGTTATTTCATGCTCCTTGAAGTTGCGTCGAATAAGTGCGAAGGTTGTGTTTGGAGGCTGTTGGGGCTGTAGATTATTCCCTTTTAAGCTGTGTGCGTCTTCGGCATGGTCATTGTAGGCGAGCCGTTCTTGTCCGCTCTCGACGGATTCCTTTCTGTGTGCATGTATTGCGTTCGTCTTCATTAGGTGATTGGCGTGTACTTTTTGTCAAACAGGGTTTTTTCGATTTGACTTGGTTTTCTTTTTCTTTTTCTTTTGATTGTTAGGTTATAGCTGGTTGTTGCAGTTGTACTGTGCCATCGATGACCGTCAATTGCTTGGTAGCGACTCTGTTGATGTTTCTTTTCTATGCTCAAGTGGCATACGAGTTCATCTTGCGTAAATTGATGGTTCAATCAAGTGATATATTGTCCACGAGGAACTGTCTTAGATTTCGTTTCCACCTCTTATTCTCGGAACTAGCTTTTTGTAGGTCCAAATTCTGCAGTTACTGTGCCCAGCACAGTATATTTGTGAATTAGTGCGAAGGAGGTGCCGAATTGCTCCCTTTCGTGAAGTTCTATGACAGCTATGTTGGGCTGTTTGTGGAAGAAATGTTTACTGAGAATTATGTGCGTGTCCACAGTTCGTCAACCAACAGGTTGATCACCTCCAAGGATGTCGCTTCAGTTCAGTTGAACGTGGGTCATCTTGATGAGAACGGCGTTTACACAGGCCAATTCACCACATTTGCTCTATGTGGATTCGTCCGTGCACAGGTATACTATTGGACAGATCTCTTCGCTATTTATTGTTCTTGCATAGTTTATACTTGTTATTTACATCATACCGCAATTGTGAGGAGCTGTTTAATGCTTAGGTTTTTGCTGACTTAGGTCGTAACTGAATCTTTTTGACGCAGGGTGATGCCGACAGCGCCCTTGATAGGTTGTGGGCCAAGAAGAAAGCTGAACTCGGGCAGTAATTATGATTACAGTGGCGGAGCGCAGATTAGTGTCACCAATCTCATGTCTGATAGGAAATCTTTATTTTTTGGTGATCAAACATTTGTGCTAGGATCTTTCGCACTAAACTTCTCTGTCGAATTTTCTGTTGTGTGATATGTGATCCTGAGTGGTGCTTTAAGCAGACGGGTCTCTGTTTGTCGTGGTTGTTTGTCACAATGCAGACTGATAAGATAAAATGCACCACTTGTGCTTATCTGAGCTATTGGAATCATTGTAGATGAGGAACTTCGTCAGTTGAATTGATAGGCGATGCTTTGAAAGTAGAATCTTGTGTCTTCGCTTTTCTTATACGTTTAATATCATGGCTATATTTTTGAAATGGGTGTTTTAATGGATTCCCGTCAATGCGCATTTCTTCTATGCGTAATGGACGTGATTCCTGGTGATCGTCACAAGAAAATCCTGAACATCCCTGGCTGTCGAAGTGAGGATTGAGAATTTTTTCTTGTGAAACTGATCGTCATGTCGAATGAAGAATACTGCTGGGCATCGTAGTCGTCTACGAAAATGAAATGGTCTAGTTCGAAATTCAACAGTTCTAAGAAATTTGCTCCACATGCCTAATGAATTGCAGCATGTGCTATTCTCGGACGTTTCCATCAGCAAAGTTGCTTTCCCGTATACAGAAGGAAGTGTTACTCAATGGCAACTTCATTAGTCAATGGTTTTGGCGACAATGCAAATTTGTTTAATGTGAACTTCTCGTAGGGCATTTCCTTGGAGCAGTCTGATTCTCCAACACGGAGCATTATTACTATATTTCAAAGAGCTTTGCATTTACTGTTATTTTCAATTATTCAGTTTCAAGTCTTTTCATTTAATTCATCTCTTAAATATCAACAATTGTTTATCATTAAATTGAGATAATCCATAATTCATGTAACTCTATAAATTATGTATTTTTATGATATAAAATATAAAAAATATACGTAAAATAATATATGTCATACATATATTCTTAGAACAGTAGAAGATAGATTTCATGTGAAAGGTAAATACTAGACATTACAATATAACATACATATAAACACACACACATACATATACCTTTTATCCACCTTCATTAAAAAGTAACAATAATATATGTACATTATACGTACATAGATACATACATACAATAGAATATTTATATACTTATTCCTGTGATGGTAGAAAAAACATGTAAAAGTATTACAACTGCAAGGTTTTGAACATTTTAATTTATTGTAATAGTATAATAAGATATCTTATGATTTAAATGAAGATCACATTCAATCAGATCATAATTTATTGTCAATTTATTTTTTCTAAAAAACACCTTGAGATTTTTTATTCTATTTTAGAAACAACAAGTTGAATCTTAAATACTTGGTAGGTAGTGCTGAAACAAGTTAATTGGTCTGCTTTAAAAAAAAAAAAAGTTTGCTACATGAATATGCTTAGTTTTTAATGTACATTTTGTATGAGTACAAAGGTTAGTTGTATATATATGTATGTATATATAATATGCAAAATCAATGGTATATTATTTTTTTAAGGACAATTTAAATTTCATGATAGTTGTAGAATAATATGTTGGTACATGCATATACATATATTTCTATCTGTATGAATGTGTGTAGTATAGATAAGAAAGTAATACATTTGAAGAAACATCTTGAATAGATATGTGTAATTCATGTATCTATCTATCTATCTATATATATACACACATACAAATACCAACTTTTTATGTGTTCACAAGATGTGAATATAAAATGAAAGGTTCTTAATTGTTTCTTTAAAAATGAAAGATTCAACATTTAATCATTGGGCTTGTCGGGAATTTCAAACGAAATAAGTAATCTATTATTATTATTATCACCTTTGTTGATTTATTATAGTATCCGTGACACCCTTGGAATCCTTTGCACTAGACCTACCTGATCGAGGGCAACAAGGGCCCCACAGCCATATTCAAAAATCGGCTTTGAATTGCATCGGTCACCACTCCGAACGAACGATAACTTAAATCGACGATAAACTTTCTTGCTGCGAGGCTACAGCTTGACGTCCCCCCACCGACAGAGACGTCAACAAGAGCTTCGCCATCCAAAACCCATCTGCAACGGCTATATCATTAATCCAAAAACGAATGTATTACATCCGCGATAATCATCCACATTCAAACTCACAGCGGTGGCGCGTCTCCCTCCTCGTTTCCTGCTCCTCCGTCCATCCCTGCAATTCATCGGCAGCCTTCTTTTGCGCCTGTTGTTCATTGTCGCAAGCATTATTATTTGAAATTTGGTTTCGAGGAGTCGGCTCTCTATTTCTGTCACATTTCGTGACAGGTAGCGCGGAGCATTGCCTTGTTCTGTAAGCCTAGGTTGAGTTAGTTAGTGGCCGTTTTGTGGGTTTTCCGCTGCTTGAAGTTATTCCGCGCTGTGTTAATGCTGTTTCTGGTGGACGCTGTGAGTAGTATATATGGTTTTCAAGCCTGAATTTGATTACGATTGCTGGAGTAGGGGCGGTTGTTGATGAGGCAGCGAAGGAGGTTTGACTGGGGAGTAAGACCTGTTCACAGAGAGTGGTGAGTTTATGAGAGACTGAACATTTTGAGCAGGGTACTGTGGATGTTGGAGGAGAGGTAGTTGATTTAATTTAGAGACAGTGATCATTTTGCGTCACAGGTGGCCTGCCGGGTTTCTGCGAAGAGATGTCATCGTTTAGGAGGCCCAAAACGGAGGCTACGTTACGATTGTACAACTTGCCGCGTCGTGAGCTTCAAGCTCTGTGCAAACAATATGGTATTCCTGCGAATAAGACCAATGTCGCCATGGCAGACGCTCTCTCCGCGTGTGTGCCGGTAAGTTTTGATACTTGTTTAGAACTGGGTGTATCCGCGCTTTTGCTTCATGGCACAAGACAACTGGGAGTTAGTGCCTTGATTGTGTAGGAAATGCTCCCAATCTGTCATGTGTGGCATCTGCGCCCTTAACAGAATTGGAAGAGTGAATGATCTTTATTTTGAAGTCGAGTGTTCCTACCCAGTATTGCCTCCGCAAGCATAGCGTTACGGCCACAGAATATTGATCTTGAGACAAACAGTCCTCATCATCTTCTGCAATTACATGCCATCTGGAAAGAGTCAGTTTTCTGTTCCTGAGGTTTAGTCAGATGCTTCTCATTTCATGTGCATTTGGATAGTGAGAGTTGTTGATTGAATCCAAATGAACAGGCCGATACTGGGAAATCCAAAGCGTCAGCGGGCATGACTTCTCTTGGGGTTTCGAAAACTACACCTATGAAGCACAAGTTGGAAAAGAAGACAGGATTGCCGGAGACATCATTGGCGTCATTGATCTTGAATGGCAAGAAAAAGATCTCGCCTCTAAAAACTGCTGATAAGCTAGTCCCAGTTGGCACCGATGAGGCCAGTTTTCCCCTACCAAACACCACGCCCTTGAAGCGAGTGAAGAGGTCGGATAGATCACTCCAGGTGGTCCCTGAGGATAAAGAGAAGGTTACGATTGTCCCTGCTCTCACGAGAGGTATAGTATACTTTCTGGCCCACTACAATCATTTTGTTTAGGAATGAGCACTTGAACGGGCTTGTAATCATCTTAGTTTGCTTCACACTCACCACACACTTTCTCTAGACAATTAACACTTAGCACACCTAGACAACCCAACATATAACACGTCACTAGACACACGGATAGTCAGTTAGACGACATAAATCACCGGTAAACTTTTTCAAAGCAGTTTGATGCCACACTTTTCTCGAGTTGATCCCCCACTGTGATTTTCAATGAGAAATTATTTGGAGTCTTGACCAGCTCTTACCTTGAGTTGGCTTTGCAGCTGCAGCTTTTCTGGACAAAATTCCGAAAGCCGCACCTGCACCCTTGTATGAAAAGTACGGGAATTCAACAACCGCGCTGAGCAGCCCTAGCACACGAGCACTCACTCCGAGGAAGCGACCCGCGGAGGCTTCTGCAACTGTGACTAGAAGGGGCGGGGATGCCCTTCCACCAGTCTCCTTTTCTGATCTGCTTGCAACGCCCAAAGCATCCAAGCCTCAGGTCCCTGAAGTCATTGTGTTGAATTCCACGGGAAAAACCGCCCAGAAGATGAAGTCTAGGCTCGGTCCCATGAAATCACCGCCGGAGGAAGAGACCACATGTCCAGCGCCTACTGAAGCTGGTGTGGTGAAAAAAGTTTCCAGAGGCAAGAGGGTGGCCTTTGCTGACGAGGTTGTGCCCAAGAAAAGCGCAACTAAAGAACCAGAGCCCCAGCCTGAACCCGAGACGGAGACTCTTGAGTTGCCGTCTGCCGAAATCGAATTCAAGAACTCAGCTCTACACAAGGAACTTTTTGGACTTCCAAATAGCATTACGAAGGAAGAACAACTCGTTAACTCTCCAGCACCGACTGAGGAACGCTGTGAAGATATTCCAGCAGGCCCTCGTGAAACAGGATTTGAATTCAGGGACATGGCTCTCCACAAAGAACTCCTTGGATCACACCCGAACCTCGAGTCCAATTCTCAAGGGTCCACGCTCCCGCTTCACGATCCGGGTCAATCCGGAGCCTCTCCCACTGCCACTGAATGGGCATCGTCAGCGTGCGGGAGTTTGACTCCTTCGTTGACTCCACCTGCAGCTGGGCTTAACAACGCTACACCAGCTCAAGGTGGCTCAATTCGTCCCAGTGAGGATGCATGTGGCCGTTCTACAACTAGTGTGGAAGTTTTGGAGCCACCCCACCGGGAGCTACCAGGGAGTCGTCATCTAGGTTCCCTCGTGGACGCCTTGTCCCCTGACAAGCTTGCAGAGAGCCAGTGTGTGCAGACAGTGGAAGCATCAGATCATAGCCATGCAGACACGACTGCCTTTCGGCATAGAATGGAGGATGACACCAATTTGGCGGTTGCACAGTCTACTGTGGCACCTACTGCTGTTGTGCATGCAGTCACTGATCAAGAACGAGATGTGGAGGATGGGCTGCGAGGAAATTCTGAGATTCTCGAGGTCTGCACCCTTTTGAATGGCAGGATGGACATCTCGTGTGAGACTAGTACTGTTGAGGAAGGGTGTGTGAGCTCCACCCCGGAGTTGGACAAAGCACAGAAAATTCTTACTGGTTCCACACCTACATCCGATGAACTACCGGGATTCCATCGTGGATCGGCTCAGAAGGGAGAGGCAACAGTTTCACTCCCTACCGCATCAGCGAAAGCAGTAGCTGTTGCTGGTGCAGAGCTGCCAACTTCAGTATGCAGGCTTAGTGTCCAGATTCCTGTGACTCCCGTGAGAACAGTCAACTCGAACTCCGCCTCAAGCCTTGCGGAGGCAGTCACGCCGTTGACGAAGATCCAGAGTAACATAGACTGCACTCTTGCCAAAGCCACTTCCATACTGGAAAAACTAGCAGCCTGGAGAGCGGACGCGGAGAAGAAGGTGCGAGAGGGTTACTGGGAGCCTAAGTTCTCATCAGTTGTAGATGGATCTCCTCCGACTGCCGTGTTTAAGACGCCCGTCACCAAGACGGTACGATGTGAACTCTAGTCTTCGGCTCTTGAGAGTTGTTTCATCATTTCGATTTTCATGGCTGCCATAAGGTCGACTCCGACGCTAAGGCGCAGTATTACTTAGACTGTATGCATTTTCACGCACCTCTGTGTATTGGTATTGTGCCCAGGTACCTGATAGGGATCTGCGCAGCGCAAAGAAGGCAAAATTGATTCCGAAGGCTACCATAGGTTCAGAAAATGGATTCGTTATCTGTGAAGATGCAAACATTGTGTGTGAAGGTGAGGTGCCGAGTGCCCAGAAAATGCGCTCTTCAGATGAATTGACGTCGAATAAGGAGAATCAAAGCGATGTTGCAAGTAAGGTCGGCGGTCAGGGCAAAGAGAAAAAGAAGGTAATTCCTCCGCTGCCTAATTTTTTAACCTCTCTCCCTGTGTCTCTCTCTTTCTCTCTCTTCCTCTCGGATCACTTACTGGATACTTCTTCGACTCCATTCGATCAACACAAACTTCGTCTACTCAAGCTTCGTTATTGGGCTTTGATGTGATGTGTACTACTGTGCATGATACACGACCCGTTCTGACAATGAACATTCTTGCTGGCGTCAGGGTAAGAAATTTGAAGTTCTGAAAGATCGCTCCACGAATTCGTCAGATGAGAGCGCGCATGCAACCGGTAGAGTGGGTACTGGTCCAGTTCGTCCCGAAGATATGAGCTTGCGCAAGCTACGGGCTACCGTCAAGGAGCGGGTAAGCTGGTCGTTTCTGTTTTTTGGTGATTAATCGTCACACTTCATGCCAGACAGATGATTTGCAGTTTGTTGTGTGATGATGGACCGCTTATTCCCCAGCATACAAACTTCTACAGGTCCGACAGATGGAGTCATTTAAAACTTGTGTTACAAGAGCACAAAAAGGCTAGATCATTGCGCACTGAACTACAGCATCGGCGAATTGGTTCATATTGTGGGTGCCCGTTAGTACCGATTGGATATTCCGCCATGGTTTGAAAATTTTGTGGGCACTGCGATTTTCGACAGTAACTGAACCCGATACCGACTCCAAGTGAAGGAATCCGCATACTGAATAAGCTCATCTTGGTCAAGGAACGCAGATGGAGCCAGTGTCTCAGTGAGCAGCAACAGCCAGATTCGTAGAAGCAAGAGGAATTCTGAAGTTTGCGACCGTGTACATAGTATTCTGTGATCGAAATCAGCTGTTAGCAGTCTACAGCTCCGAATTTCAACTACAGTTGATGTCGGAGTTGATCACAGAAGCAATAGACAATTGTTATGGTGAAAACTGAACAATGGTTTAGTGATTATCCGTGGGAATCAGAGAACACTACTTTGACGATTATCACCCCACATGCAATGTTAAATTGAAATGCAAATGTTATGTGAATTTTCCTACAGCTTTACCTGACAAATCTTCATTCAAATAGATTATTTAAGTAAGGTCAAGAACAGTCTGCATAGATGATTTCAATATTGTGTACTCTTCTTAAAGGACCTCATATTGTCGCACATCAGAATGTTGTAATATTTTTAATAGTTTATGAAGATAGTTTAGTGTGATAATTATTGATTATACAATGTGGAAGATCTCATAATTCTAATTTCACTATCAACTCTCAATTCACATGAAGATGTATTGAACAGAAACACACGTCTTTACAAGCTTTAGTATATTGTACCTTAGAACAGTTTATAAAATAGATAAGAAATTTACATGTGAAAAAGCAAACAAGTGATAGTTGAAGAATATTATTAATTCTACCTTTAATGTAGTGGACATTAAGGAATTACTTTTAAATTAGGATGTTAGGGAATTAAACATTTGTTGTTGATATTCATCCAAAATAAGAATTTGGATAAGTTCAAAATTCTTTGACATGCTTGTTTAAAGGTGATTCTTTGAATATCTCAAGAGTGATGAGAGTAGTCCAAAGATAATAAAAATAATGACCATAATAATACAAATAATCTAAAGGTGATAATGATAAATATAGTTATCTAAAAAAATCTAAAGATAGCCCAAGTGAAGATATAATAAATTAAAATAATATATTATACATAGAATAATTAATCCAAAAAGAAGTATAGATTTTATTTATTAATTTAATTTAAATTGTATACTTTATAAAGGAAGAGATTTAAAGAAAATATTTTAAATGGACTTGATTATGTCTTTTGTGTAAGTTCATATAAAGAAGAATGTTTAGCTACAATGTAGGCAATTACAAACTTTGAATGTTATTTGCATGGTAGTGGATTTTTTTTTTATAATGCATCATCAACTATTCAAATGACTCAAAGAATTTGACAAACTAATTGAAAAGCTTGTAAGGTGGGCCTTGATGCTACAAGGATATGACTTCAAGGTAGTATATAAGACAAGATTTGTGAATATGGATTTACTTAAGAAAATGGTAGATGGAAAATAATTTGTGGTTCAAAGGCCATAAGAATGTGAAAAGCTAAAACTTCACAGTCACAAAGTGTTAGGATATTTTGAAATGAAGAAACTTATAATCTTCTATAGAGTGAATATTAATAGATTGATATGCAAGGAAAAACACAACATCATATGGCATGGTTTTCTATTTGGGAATACATTGTGTGAGTTATCAAATTGACTCACTTATTATTTTAGGATAAAAATATATATTTAGAATGCTTTAAATCACAATATATAGTGAGTAGTGTAGAAATCCTTAAAGAAATAGAAAATTAGAATATTAGTGGTGAAAATGCTAAACTTACAAAAATGTTGGTTCTTTATAGTATAAAATAGGAAGACCAGCAGCTAGTATAGTCCTTATAGGAAGGAGAGTGCACAAGTCCCATATGGGTTGTAGTACCTTGAAGGTAGTTAGGATGATAAGACTAAGGCCTCGTGGCCTCTCTTAGACACCCTCATATGCTACATGTGAGCTTTGGTGAGGATCAAACCCTTGATCTATAAACAAGTTACCTTTGAGGTAAAATATTTTTACTTTATTTTTCAATTATTTACTTCATATCTTTAAAACTTCATAACTTATTCATAGTAATTCGGATTTACATGTTTCTTATATTATTAGAAAGATAATAAAATTAACTATCTAAAAATATACTTTTTATTTTTATTAAATAAATATACAATGAACAAATTGTGATTTAGTTTTAGATATTGTAATTGCTTCATGTCATTTATTTCAATTGCTTTGTGGTTGTTCTTTTTTTGTTCTTGTTATTTGCTTACTTCATTTCATACCACCAATTACAAGCAATTCTTAATTGAGGCCATCTTGTGACTTGGATTGAGGAGTAAAAATTTACACTCACAGATTCTTCTACTTCATGTTCTTGGTTCAAATATTGAGATAAGAATTCCTCAAGGTCTTCTATTTTGAATTGCTATTCTCTTTTCTTGAAAGCCTTTACCCTCTTTCTTGCTATTAGAATTCTAATGATAGCTTCATCTAACTCATGTAAGCTATATCTAGCATTATCATGGATTGTAACTACTATATATGGTCTAAATTATTTTTTTGCCAATTTCTTTATAATGCTATGCTAATGTTCAAAGTTGCTATTATAAACTAAAATACAATCTCCAATCTTTAAAGATTTAGACTTCAACCTATGAGTTCTGTCAAATCTTTCTTTATTTTTTAATCTTACTTTTTTTAACCTCTGAGTTACAATTTGAAGGTCTTTAGATAATCTTTTTAATTATTAAATCCATTGCTTTAATAATATTTTCTATTGATATTACCTTTCTAAGATAGAAACATCTACATAGAATAGGTTTCTTATGCTGGCATCATAGGTTTTTATTTTAACATTAATTCTATAGACATATAACTAATAATAGTATTATAAGTAGTCCTATCAACCTATAAAGCATATAGAAGCAGTTTAGGCCATTGAATTGGCTTATTCTTATATACCTTAATCAATGCATGTATGATAGAAAAATGATCTCTCTCATTCTTTCTGTTGGCTTCAAGATTATAAGAAGTAGTCAACTTTAGTTGAACTCCTTATTTATTAAAAAAAATTCTTTAGCATCCATATTTTTATAGCATCTGATTTTTTTTTATTAGCTTTTATCTTCCTAATGCTATCATATCTATTGAAAATGTCTTTCAATATAAATTTACATACTTCTTTTGTAGTCTTGGTTTTTAAAACCTTTCCTTCAATATAATTTGACAACTCTTCTTTTGCTATAACCAAGTATTTTATATCTCAAAGTTATGATGGCATAGCTATCAAATCAATTATCTATTGGAAATATATAGATGGTGGATAAGTAGGATGTAATCCATCTCTATACCTAACCTTAGACTATAGTTGACACTCTATGCATGATCTCATAGAGTCTTTTACATCCTTGTATAAGCCTTTCTATCAATATCATTCTTTGATCTTAATATATGTGGTCCAAATTCTCATATATCTTACGCAAAGTATAATATGATATTTATTTAAAACTTTAAATTTAGTTTTAAGGTCTCTTATTACCTTCAATAGAATTTTGTCACCTCTTTTTGGCCTCTTCCATAGAAATCCATCTTTAAATAGATAATCATAGGATTGATATCTAATATCTTTGAAGATTTTATCCATCTACTTTTTTTGCTTCTTCATTATTTTTAAATAAATTCTAATATCTTTTAATTTGCCTTCATACAAATCATCATAGAAATTTTGAATCTTATCACCAAAATCCATTCTACCAATAGCAAATGAATTTCCATAGCTTTTTTTCTCTTGATCTTTATTTTTTTTCATGTATCATCATCTCCTCTTCAAAGGTACACTTATCTTTAGACAACATATTTCCCACAAAGTTTTTTTTATCAGTAATATGTACTAAAACAAGATTCAATATTCTTATATAGGCTATCCATTTTAGCATGACAATATGTGGAATAATACAGTAAATTATTATTTTAATTAATGATAAATAATTTATTTTTAAAACCATACTTATTCTAATCAAATAATTCCTCTCAGCTTTTAGAGGGATGAATACTTCCTAAAGCTGTCTTTTAACTTGTTTATAAGTCCTTTGCCTTTTTGTATGAACCTTGGTTCTAAACCTTATTATAAATCTTCTCCATTCTATATCATTTTGTCTAATAGGCCATTCAATTGCTACAAGAATTATATCCATTATTACAATCATTCATCTTTTCATTGATAATCTACTTATTTAAGTATAGGAGATGAACTCAATATCTTTTTTAGATTTTTTATAGCTAACTCTTATTCTTCTTCTCAAATAAGTTTTTTATTCTTACTTATTAACTTGTATAGTGGCTTTGAGATATAGACAAAGTAAAGCATCCAAATGTAATAGAATATACATGCTTCTAAAAACCTTTTGTTTTTTGTAATATTTTTATAAGCCTTCATTTTAGATATAGCATCAATTTTATTAGAATTTGTTTTATTGCCATATTTGCCATATATATGTCCCATCACTAGAATCTCATCAATTTCAAAGCTTGATTTTTTTAATGATAATGTAAGATTAATTAACTCCAATCTTTCTAATATCTTAGCCACATCTTTAATATGCTTCTTGATAATTTTTTTGCAACCTTCAACTTCTATAGTCTTGTCTTTGTTTTCTTTTTTTATTTCTTTTTATAGGTATATCATTCAAAAATAGAATAGTTTTTTCAATCACAATTTTTTTTAATATTTATTTCATAGCATTTTGCATATAAGCCACTAAGTTGGTTGCACCTTAAGATAAGGTATACATCTCCATTAAATCTAAAAGAGTCTTCATGGTGGTTAAATCCCTACTTTCTTTAGCCAATTAAAATTGGTCATACTCAGAATATAAGTCTCTAATAAATTAAATGGCATGACTTGTGAATTATTCAGTTACTTCATCTACTACATGACTTGACTCTATATTTGAAATAGTAGCTTTGTTTGCATATTGTATATCATGAACGAATCTTAATACCTATAATTTCTTGGGTATTATGAACCATCTATTAGAATAGGAAGCAATTGAAGGTTCTAAAATATCCATATTTATTTATTTTTTAATAATTCTATTAATTTTGGAAACAAAACTCTAGGCACAAATATAGGCATTGAATTCTATGGAACATGTGATACCATAGGTATTATAATTATAAGTTCTACACATCCAATTTCATTAGGAATTAAAAAATATGCCTTATCATGTTCAATAAGTATTTTTTAAAATATATTTTCTTCCATTAATATCAAGAAATCACTCCTTCTAATCTTGAGCTTAAATAATGATTCTTAAATAGATTAGTATCTAATTTTGCACTTCTTTCTTAAACTTAACTCTTTAATTGCTTGCTTGATATGTTCGATACTATTAATTGATAGCTGGGTAGCTACAAGTTTTATCTTTCTTACCACAATTTTATATTTAGT